TTTTTAATAAGCAGCCAATGAAGATCCTCTTTCACTTGAGAGATTGTGAGGGAGGTCAGAATGTGAAAGCCCTGAGCAGACTTTTACCAGGACAGTGGACTACAGCTATACCAGCCTAATAAGAGCATATTAACTGAAACATGCAAAGGGAGCTGCTTTTTTAATTTCTGAGATATGCAATGCTCAAGAACACTCTTGCATGTGCCTAATATCTTTGCCAACCTGTGGGTCTTTAGGGCTGCTTCCCTGTTATTGGTCTCAAAGAGCATTCTGGGTTTGCACATTCCCCAGCCCACGTGCACAGACTTCAGCACATCCTTGAATTTTACTGAAGGGTAAAAGCATTCAGGTTAGATTGCTCTCCTTCTCTTCCCTGATGCAATCGCTGTCTCCGGGAGGGACACATTACTTTGCAGACGTCTTTTGTAACGTGTGGAGTGCCAAGGGAATTGAAAGAACACAGCCATTTAATTCTGGATATCTGCCAGAACGGCAGTCCATCACAAAGTTAATTGAATTGTCCAATAAATCCCATCTCTGTCGCTGGCATTCTACAGCCATTCCTATTCATATCTGACCTTAAAAAAAGGTTCACTAACCTCTTAAAAGCCAAGTGCTAGGCTGCATTTTCTGACTGCTGCCAGTCTTTTGAAAAATGCATGTGAAACTCTTATCTTCTGCGATACCACTGCATGCTATTAATAGAGCAAATCAGTGTCCCACAAATCTGAGTCCTGTGATGCCAATGTTAAGACTTTTATAATTTGTTCTGATGGCTCAGAAATCGTATTAAGATTTCTTTGAATGTCCTAAAGTATTTACTTCCAGAAGTGATTCTGTCTACCTTATTTTTGCACTGGATTTTCAAATATGTCATACCAATTCAGAGAGCTGGGCAGTCACGAGTAAATTGAGAGAATACTAATTTATTTTATATTGAAAGGGAGAAACCGCTTCCAAGAACTGACAGTGCTCCATATAAGAGCACAAATCCAATGTTATCCATTCTAAATCCAATCACAGATAGTAATCAAATTATTGTCTCATTTAAAATAAACTTCCTGCTGCTCAATAAGACTTTGAACCTCCAACATGAGCTTGAAAACTGGGAACAATATTTGCTGTGTTGCGTCCGTCTCGTTTTCCAATTACTGCTTCACTTTTCAAAATAAAATGTAAAAAATGCCCCCAGGTCTACTATGAAGCAGAACTGGCACTAAACGATCTTGAAATCAGACTCCACCATTCATACAGCGCCCCCTGGTGGCGGGAGGTTGCTCTGACCTCAGTCAACAGCCATGGGTGGTCCTGGGCCAGTCTGCCCCAGTCGGTCTCAGCTGTCACGTTGGCATATTTGAAGCGGTTCTGCACGGCCGCCGAGGTGCAGATGTACTTGTACAGGAACTCCTTCCCCGTCTGCTCGGAAATGGCCTTGGCTGACATGGCTCTTCACCGCGATACCTAAGCGGAAGAGGCAGGAAGAAAAGAGATTCAAATCCGATGTCCTCCATGGGAACGAACATGGTGGAGAAGGAGAATGATGCTGTAGAGAGACCTTTCACTGTCACCCGGCCCACCTCCACACACACCTGATCACGGGTGGGGTCTGATCATGACTGCAGCCTCAGGTTCCACATCACAACTCCATAGGCTCGAAAGATCAAGGAGACACAATCTCGTCACTGAAACCCTGTTTATTCCAGGCTCGACTTCAGCCCTTAATGGTGCAAAATGAGCCTGTTAATGGAGATCTCAGAGAATAGAGATCTCGGAGACCTCCTAGGAGGAAAAACGGGCTTACAGTGGGAGCGAATGGAATTGCAAAGGTTTTATCTATCCTTGAAACAAGGTCATTAAACAAAACTGCGTTCTGAAGAACACGCACGCAGACACTGGGCTCTGAAACAAATTTAACAAGATACTTGGCTCAAGTACTGTCAATCCGCCAACGACAACTCTCAGGTTTATTAAAGATTTCGCGTAGTCCTTGACCTGTGAGCATATAGATTGCGGCACAGGAACACAAGCTTTTAAAAGTCACCAACAAAACCAAAAATAAACAACACTTAGTCCCGAAAGTAAGAAACTCATTTTCAGGTGGGCCTCTGTAAAGCAGAGCACAGCTCTGTGCTGCGTCATCCGTTGCTCGTCTTCGTTAATTGAATCATCCCTCCCCCCTCACTTCTTCTCTCTTTGCTGCCGATTTGAAGGCTAAAAATAGCTCCCCCCCCCCAATGGCTGGCCATCGATTTCTCCAAGACAGCGCTGACTTCAGCACAGCAGCCCCAGACCCGTGCGGAATCAGGGGGTAACAGGTGTGTTTCCCTTGCCTGCTCTGAAGGGCGTGGGGCTGTCCAGACGAGCACTGGGGGGACCCAGCCTATCCTGCCCCACACGTACCCAGGTCTAGCTCTTTCCCAAGCAACAGGATCAATGAAAACGCACTACAGTCCGAAGTGCATTGAAGAATTTATGGCCTAGTTTACCTGAAGATGTGATCATGTTTTTGAAGACTGTGATCAGTATGAATTAAAGATGCTAAGTGAGAAACATTGTTACTCTTCAGCTGAACTAAACTATACTAACAACAAAGCTGTTCGACCTGAAGAAGACACTAGTGGAGGCTCTGAATAAACTGTTGATGTTCACATGCATATGTATTGTATTCATCACAGCAACGCTGGCGTAATCTGAGCCCCGAGAACCTGACCCCCAACTCTGACCTGCAGCAGGAGGAAAGGGGTGTCACGTCAACGCGATTGACCGCAGCCATTGGAAAGCAAGGAGAAAAAAAAAAAAAGCTTCTCCTTCTCCAGACCAGTTTAATGATTAACAAACTCCGGAGCCCACGTTGTGGTGGAAATGCCCAACCCAGCACAGCATCAGGTTGGGAGGAGGGGCCTGCATTTCTGTTTCCATTCTCCCAACAATCTCGCGGGCTGGAGGAGGAAGAAGAGGGCTCTACCACCCTCACGGCTACAGAAGCCCTCTTTACCCCCCCCACCTCGCCCCCTCACACAGGTCTTCCAACTTATTTGGGCTGTCTTGGGCAGGTCTTCCGGAATTCTTCCTTGTGGATTGTGCCAAGAAATGTATTTCACATGCAAATAATTGCTTTACGGCAATGACCGGCTGCATCACAAGCTAAGCATGCAGAAACGGCAGTTTGGTGACTTTTAAGGCACGCCAATTTCCAAGAAGTTTTTCATATTAGACAAAACATGGCCCAGTGTCTTCTCATAAAACGGAGAAGCTGAATTTAATACACATTTCCTTGACGCAGAAGCTGCTCTGGGTTTTACCCAGGAAACACCGCATTTTTCTGTCCAAAGGTGGACACCTCTTAACCAGTATGAAACCATGCAGTTTTGATAAAGCTCCATGTGCTCCAACCGAGCCGACGCCTGGGACTACAAAACTGCTTTATTACTTGACTGACAAAATCACGGACAAGCTACTGAACACAGCAGCGACGAAAAAGTACCGATTTGTTTTTTTGGATTTCTACACATGGATCATGATGTTAATTAGATTCGACTTCTAAACAGTCTGACTGGCCACCCCTGAAAATGAGCTTCAGTTAAAGTCAGTCCATGAGACATCTTATTCTTCTCAAGTGAACGAATAATATATTTTTGACAGAACATAACAGAAGGTGGGGTGGCACAGTGGCTAGTATACCTGCCCTGCAGAGCCGGGGCTATGGGTTCAATTATAGACCCGGGGTGCTGTCTGAGTGGAGTCTGTATGTCCCCCCCCTCCTCGTTTCCTTGTAGGTTTCCTCTTGGTGCACCGGTTTCCTTCCAAAAACATGCTGGTCGGTTAATTTGCTCCTGGGAAAACTGACCCCGGTGTGAGTGCGTGTGTCGCGTGATCAACTGGCGTCCCATCCAGGGTGTACCCTCCTTTGAGCCTGTTGTTGGTTTGGCTCCAGTGACCCTGAATGTGATCAAGCCCTTATAAAATAACTGGCTGGATAACAGAAGTTAGGTGAGCTGGGAACCTATTTCTGCACGTCTTATATTGGGACCACTTCTCCACAGAACCAAACCCGTACAGAAAGCTGTAACTGCAAACAGCCACCGCAGCCACCCCAGCCTCACATCGGCAACAGATGGCAGCCAGCTGAGGGTCCCTTGTGGCAAGTGGGGGCCGCGGGTCTCACAGGCATGACTCACCCCCCCCCACACACACACACAGGCCCAGCCCAGTGACAGGAGGGGCGACAGGCCAGCCAGTGCCAGCAGGCCAGTGCCATCCGGAGGGCGGCGGCTGTCAGGTCCACAACGGGCGAAAGCAGGGAGAGGTGGGACCTGCTGGCTGGGAATCCTTTTTCAGGGCAGGTACTGGAACTAAACAAACACGCCTTTTGAGCAGCACTCCAGACTGCTTCAGGACGTGACAGAATCGGTCTGTCCTATCAGGGAGGGTTTTAGACACTTCTTTCAACAGCCAAAGGTGAAATTTAAGGATCTAATCGTATCCTATTCATTTCCTGACTCCCTGAGCGTTCCGCTCACCACTGCCATTTACTTCTGAATTCTGTACGACTGCGGGGAGGGGTCTGTGGAGACAAGGGGAATGTATATTTGTATATACTGTACATACACTTGACTGTAGGTCATTCAGCAATAAAAAGCAATTATCTCTGAACCCTCTTATCAAGTGTCTACAAATACAGCTAAGCGTCACAAACTGTCCACGTGTATATGACAACTGCACAACTGCACATGCCCACAGGGAGGAAGAATTGGGCTCACTTACTCGGAAAGGCTTTTGAAAATAATTCATGAATGCATCCGAGCACTACGAAGACTGTTTTTAGCTAGAAATGGCCCAAGGCTAGGGAGCATCGCAAACTGGCTGGGGATGGTTTCTGCACAGTCACAGGGAGGTACCCTCGCCGGGCCCATCTCCTCCTCCTCCGCGAGCCGAGCCGACTCTGGGCAGAACGTCAGGCTTCTCCCCCTTTCTGCACCTGAACCACCTCTGAACCAGTCGGGGAGCCCAGAGGGTTTCCTGCAAAACGCAACTCATCTTAACTTGGTCAGACCTATAGAACTGTCTTGCAGAAAAAAGGCTAGATGGCTGTACAAAGACAAGGGCATTTGCCTATCAGAGGGCATGCCGAGGACAGGCACAGGTCAGCAACACCTTCTACAGATACCTGGAACGTCAGGGAGGATAACACTGCCCTAGGCTAGGCCTGTTAGCCCTTCATCTGCTCATCTATGGACAGTTCATTGTTCTCATGTCCTTTCTTTACACAGCATTAATATACTGTGGTATTTTCAATCTGTATCTACTGTACCTATGCACATTTTTCACATCTTTTATTGTTTTACAGTGACTATTAGCATATTTTGCACACATCTATTTTTTCCTAACTATTTTTTTTTTATTTTTGTATTCTGTATGCTTTTTAATTACTCGAATGCTGTAGTTATTTCAATTTTAGTCTATTCTGATGTCTGTCTTGCTTTATTTGGGCTGGGCTGCTGTAACACCTCAATTTCCCTTTGGGGTCAATAGTCTTGTCTTACCTGTATATATTACAGAGGCCTGTCAGGTATTTTGTACATGTCCGTGCCCAGAGAGTAGTCCTGCCTTGAAACTGTCCATCCAAAATAGGTTACAGGTTGCTCTTCCACGGAATAAATGCCTTCCTGATTACTGATGTATGCAATTCTGGAAATTCCAGCTTAAATTTTAATTACATCTCTGCATTCCTATATCCTTAATACTTTAGAGTTACACAGACTGCTCTGGACTGACCTGTCAAGCCTGTTGGACACAAAATCTTTCCTTAGGCAAACAAAAAAGCAAGACCTGTCCAACAGTCTTGCAAGGACAAAATAAACAATGTCTTTGAAACTCCTAAACAAAGCCTCAATAGGGGGACTGGTCAGTCCCTTCCTGCGTGCTGGCACAGCGTCTCTGGGCTTTACACAGGAGAGCAGGGATGTCCATTTAATGGGCAAACACAGCTGAGTGCACAGAGCCAAAGAGGAGCTGCTTCACAGTCAGTCAAACAAGGAAATGAAGCCTCCGGGAAAGAATGCAGTCAAGCTATAATTTGCCTTATCTGAGTTTTTATTTTAATCTAGAAATACAGCAGTATAAATACAGCACAGCTGAACTGCTAGTATCGCTAGTAATAAAAGCACTGATAAAGCAGAAGCAGTGCCACTCAGGAGGAAGACACCTGGCACACTTTATCCCATACCAGCATGCAGATGCGTTCAGGGAGCCAGTTTTCAAGGGGCTCTTTGTACTGCAGCTTGAGGGTCCCAGGCAAGAAAGAGAAGCAACTCTTGATCTCCAGGAGAAAGAACACTTCAGTTGTCTTGCCCTGCTAGAGAATTTGATGGGGTTTTTTCCCCCCGAGACAAAGTGATTTTACTACCTCTAGAGTAAGTACTGTGCTCCTTTTCTCCCCCAAATCCTAAGGTTTATTTAGTCATTAAATGCCTTAGAGGAGGGGTCACCAGCCCTGGGCCCTGGAGAGCCCCAGTCCAGTGAGTCTGATAGGCCACCAGTTCATAAAGACTGGAAAACATCTGCACGATACTGCTGAACAAAGCAAATTACCCGCTCAATTAAGAGAACTGTCTCTTGAGGGCTGAAAAGTACTCAGATTTCACTGCTAAATAAACAATTAGAGATCCTTTAACAAATCACCACTTTAATCAGTCATAATTTAAATGTCCCATTTCTTTAGAAACTGGTGTTTTCACTGCTGGACTGGCAGTCTCCAGGACCCAGACTAAAAATCCTTCCATATTCACGACCCCCCATCTCCTGCCTCAGTAGGTTGAAGAAGATTGTAACGCCGAAGTACACCGGCGGGGCTCTGCGATGTCATGCCCATCCCTTCACATTCACCACATATCCAGCACGACTCGGCATTTATGAGCTCACCCAAATCATTCGACACTCAAACCTCAACTTAAAACCTATTTATCCAAGTTGGTATTTGATGCTCGGCCTTTGCAGAGAAACAGCCTTTCAGATAGCGTGTCTCCTTCTGTCACCTACCCAATCCCGAAAGCTTCATTCCGGAGTATGGGAACGCAACAGTGTGACAAGTCACTCTCCGGCACTGCTGCAGACCGAGCGCTCTTTCCTCAACTCGCAGATCGTCGGACGCCCAGATTGAGGGGGTGAGACTGGGGGGGAGCCCACACGTGTGCCCGGCGGTGCAACTCTGCCCTCCTGTCCCCAACCTCACGCACACACACACACCCCTGCCGCTCCGGTCCCGGGCAGCTCTCTGAATTGACGGAGGAAACTCAAGGAGAAAGACACGTCACTGAGGCAACACGCAGCATAAAAGGGCTTTTTCAAGGCCATTCCACAAGACAGAACAATGTTACAGAAAGAGCCGTACACAACTGGAAACAAAAAACAAAGGAGGACAGAGAAAATGATTATCGCTTGAAAGCCGATTCTTTTTTTTTTTTAAGGCGGGCTTTCAAAACGCTGCAGGTCACAGGACTGAAGACTAAGGCTTGACCTCTGCCTGGACACAGTGATGGTCAATAACGTGGAGGCCGGGGGAGGCATTTTTAACGTCTTGAAAAGTCATTAGCAGAGCTTTCCGAGTCAAACCTGGACTCATCCAGCAGCCAGCCTGCAGAGATTTCAGGACCAGGGGCGATATGGGCACCAGAACGGGAGCTGAATTAAAATGCAGCTGCCGGGATGCGAACTGTAGCCGTGTAATTCACAGTAAATCCTTCAGCAAGCTACTGTATACACAGGGCACAGCGCGTTTTCACTGGCCTTACCTGGCTTGGTACCCAGCGCTATGCGGGTCTCATGAAGACCAGCCAGCCCGTCTGCTGTGCTCTTGCAGCACGAACATTATTACACGATAATAATAAGCGCTGTTTCCTACCCGTCTCATTCTTATTATAAAATGACAAGTAGACACATACGCAGGGGGTCCAGTTTTCTTTAGAGTAGCAATGGATTACTACATCTTTCTCTCTGCCTCCTGTACAAAAAGCACACGGTGATCCCAGGACCTTTAAAAGCAGCAGATCAAGCCGAGATGCTGAACAGCTATCTCATATTCCCGAACCGAACCCCCTAGAAATAAAGATCTTTCAAAGAACAAGAACGAAAGGTGCTACACAGTTTTAACCTCACTTTTTTTTTTACATGATTAATGTTTCGGAGGTGTATTATTTGGCGTCTGTGGTTACAACCGCATAATTCAGCCACAGTATATATATATAATTCAGCAAAACCGTTTTGTTTTTCCAATACAGACAGTTCTGCGCTAACAAATCTATCCGGAAACAGGATTTATACGATGATTTCAAAGGCATTCAATTATTTCAGGCTGTGAAAAACTTGAGATCTGGTTCATGTGAAACACTCCAAACTGACACTCCGTTTACAAAAGCCTCAGTCACTTTGCGCGGAGGAGGGGGAAATTAACCCTTCATTAGTTAATTGCTTTCATTCATTCCCTGCGTCAGAAGTGTGACTTAAAAATGGAAGGTTATAGATATATTTCGGGGGGGAACCTGCACACCTGCAACCCTTATTTCTGGGCCCTGAGTTAGTTTTAAGGTCGCGTACAAATTATTAGCATTCACGTTTTAAAATGTGAACAGCAGCGATTCGTAAAACAACTCACCACACAAAAAACACAACACGCCATCAGCTCCACGCTGTTGCTGATCTGCACCGTTCCCACTTTTAATCAAGGATGGCGACAAAACTTAGTATATAATACGGGATGTCTAGGTATTGCTCAAGCTTAAACTATACCTAGATACTGTATATAAATACCCAGATACACACACACATCACAACTTGTGCGATCCACCAAAGCGAAATTATTCATGTAACAAGAACGCAGCTAACAACTTCAGTGGAAACAAAATGTTTCTTGTACTCTGATTTTTTTAACACTTACTACATCAAGACTATCAGTAAGACAGCATCCCCAGCCCACTGCACATCTTCAGACAGGACATCCAACAAACTAGCAGAGCAGAGCAGAGCTGAGCCAGTTCGCACAGTGGACACTGAACACGATGCATCTCCCCGGACCCACAGCTCCTACCTTCACAGATCAAACGGGGACCAAGCCTGCCACGTACCCCGCGTTGGCGACCTCTGGAAATACTGCCCTGCTGGCTTTTGTCTTGCGCTGCGCTGCCTCCCAGCAAGCCAGATTCACCGACACCTCACGCTACACCCTGTACATCCGCCTCTGGAGCGGCTCTTCCTTCTCGGCCCCTGCCTTTTCTCTCTCTCTCTCCTCACCATCTGCCGATATGGTTACATGACCTCCCGGCTTTCCGATTGGCTCAGCCCGCCCCATGTGATCCTCTGCCTTCCCCGTCGGCCCCGCCCTCCCTCGGCGGCCGTTCGCTGACATCAGGACAAGCTTTCGAACTGCGCGTCTTGTGAAACTGGTACTCACGCAGCGGCGCCATTTTGGCTCCTAGAGGAACTTGGGAACAGGACACACTGGAGCCAGACTGGACTCGGCTTCAGGGGCGTGGTGTGACGTACCAAAACTTCTTCAGCCGTCATAGAGAATAGAAGCTGTAATTGGACACTTAGATTGAGGGGCGGGGTTAAACGATTAACTACGGCTGTGAATGGAGGAGCATGCCTTGACCCCTAGATGAGTAATAAGACGATAGCATCAGTTTCACAACCTCACAGATGAGTGTTGTTGTAGTACCGGTGCAGTGACTCTGCATAACTTTTTTTGCGGTTATTAGCGCTTTAAAAAGCTTCTATTTCCTGATTTAATGTATATATTAAGAAATATCGTAAAAGGTATTCACACCTAGATTGTTTGTTTACCATACTATGAAATATACCCCACCTTATTAGTAATAGTTTTGTTCCACGTCAATTAAAAAAAAAAGCAATGATTATTTTTTATGTTATTAATACGCTAAAATGTCGTGTAGCGGAGAAGGAAGCCGGGTGCGAAAGAGACGTTGCAATAGGGCAAAGAAAACAAAATGCAAACCGGATACTTGGCACAACTGGTCGTGAGCGGACAAACTTGTTTCCACAGGAATGCTGTGCCCACAACAAGCACGCGTGGGCAAACACAAGCACAGCAGTCTCCGGTTTGCAGAATCCGGATTCTTTACTTGTAAAATAGGCCTCAATTTGTAATCCCCTTTACCAATAACCTAGAAGTAAAATCTGAAGGAGTCTGCTAAAATATTTGACTAACAGTTCCTTAGTTACTTCCTTTCGCCTTTCTGTTGCGTTACTGTATTTCCTTCTATTGCTAACTGCCGTTACACAGGTAATAGTGAAATATTTGTTCTGCGTCTTTATTGCTTCAAGACGGCTCGGACCAGAGATCTGTGCAAAGACGTGGCATGCCCTTATATCCCATCTCAAGTACAATCTTTTTAATTTAATATAAAATGTTTCAAGAAAACCTAAAAAAAAAACGGAGGTGACAACAGTGGTTGCAAAAGCCTTAAGTTTTGTGTCTTCCCAAACCACAAAGGAACTCAGCAGCAGCAGAGTCCCCTATAACTTTACTGCTACTACGGTACTGAAAACCATGATAATCCCCGTCTGTCTTCAGCATAATTTAACAGTCATTCCGGCAGGACAAAGGTGTTTTGTGGTACTGTCCAGCTGTTTCACAGAGCTCTTGGGTCCTGCACACCAACCCAGTCCAAGACTCATTGTGTGAGGAGTTTACATGTTTCTGTAGGTTCTCTCTGGGTGCTCTCGTTTACTCTCACCTCCCAAAGACATGATAGCTAGGTAAGTGGACTCCTCTAAATTGTGTGCACGCCCTGCGATGGCCTGGGCAAAGTGTGACCCTGTTGTCCAAAAGGGGCTCCAGGCTGCGGTGCCACTACGAGCAGAAGCATGTTTCGCCAAATGACAAGAACATAAAAACAGCCATAAACAAGCTGAGGCCAATTAGCCCATCCAGCTCAGAGTTGTTCGCATCTTATTGACCCACAGATCTCATCCAGGCAGGTCTTGGAAGAAGCCAGGGTATCGACTGGAACAGCATGGCTGGGTTGTTTGTTTCACACCTCTGCAACCCTTGGTGTAAAGAAGTGACTCAGTGCTGATTGGAGAATCTCATTCAGAATAGGGCCGGGTAACTTGTTCCACACTCCCACAACCCTTTGTGCAAAAAAAGGGGCCCCTGCGGCCAGTTAGGAATACACTTGTAGCCTGTGGCTCACGGTTCACTGCAGTCACTGAGTAAAGTCATTCAGAAACTGGTAACGATCATGGGGTGACTGAGCCTTTTTTACAGAATGCACGCCTTCATTTAGCTGCAGCACGATTTCCCCCGAAGCTGAATTAATGGATATTTAGCAGGAGCATGAATCTTTCCTGTGCACAGATCCAAGAGTTCTGCCCCTCATCGTGAAGCAGCGATGGAATAAAACAAGCTAACCAGAAGGGTTAAAAACTGAAATGATGAGTAGCCTGATGGGGAGTGATCGCACTTAAACTTAAAAGGTCTTATTGACTCCACATGTGGCTGTACCGAACCGCCCCCCTCACCCGACAGCCTGCTGAGGCTGTGCCAACAGCCGACGTTGTGCAACAGAAGGGAAACAGCCAGCACACCAGCCTCCTTCTCTTACCTCCCCAGTAGCCCTGAGACTCTGGAGCCCTGCCACACAGACAGGCCGATCCAGGACAGCAGGCAGGGTGAACTCACATGACACATCAGACGTTCGGATCTGGCATGTCAGGGTGGGGTTAGCAACACTAATCCAGTGGTGTTAGACTGAGTCTGCAGGTCTTCACTTCAAGACTGCTCTCAACGACTTACTGTGACTCAGCTCGTTGTTGCCGCAACTGGAACAATTTAGTCATTCAGAAGTCATTACACCACTTTCTCAGCCCTACGGTCGCTGGCACATTGAAGAGACCTAGAAAGCCCATCGACACACTGTCCCTCCAGGACCAGGAGTGGAGACCCCTGCGCTGAACTGGTCCTAGTGTAGGTCCTAGGCAGGCTGGAACTACACAGGAACAGGCTGGTGTTCAGTCGGTCTGAGCCAGGCATGGGTACTCCCCTCCCACACAAGTGTGACTAGCAAACCTCAAGTAAACAGGTGAATCCAGGCATACTCAAATAATCATTTGAAAAAAAGTCATTAAGGTGGAAAATAAAACCAGTACAGCCTCCACCTTAAAAAGGAGAGCCCCAATCCAGCAGATTATATAGCTAACCATTAAATAATCTCAAACCCCAAAAAATTAATTGTGCTCAATTAAGGAGAGTTAAATTAGAGTACTGGAATGTAAATGTGAACATCCTTCATCCCTCAGAGACCAGTGATCCTTTTTAAATTCTATATTTAATTGATCAATAAATTAGAGGTATCCCCAATCTTTATCAGTAGGTAATTTAGGATGACCTACAAAATTAGATTAAGGATAGTAGACCAAGGAGTGATGCCTCTGAACTGAGCTCAATTATTTGTACCAATTATTGATCCATTTCTATAACAAAATCAAAATCTACAGCAGGCCTTCTCAATTTATAGCCTTCCCAAACTGCTCCAGTACAGACTTTTGTTGCAACCAACTCCTTGATAATTTAATTGCTAATTAGCAGGATCAATGTAGCAATTAAGGAACTGGTTGTATCAATCTCTGGAACTTGATTCCAACAAGCTCAGCATTATTTATAAATTCCAGAAAGCTAAACTAAGCACAATATTCATGCAACCATTTGTTATGCCACAGCGATTCTATAGCCCATGTTTATACAATGCATCCATCACTTTGCAGTAGAAAAAAATTCTTCTAAAAACATCACACCAGAAACACCAGCTTCTCCTTTCATGAAATCGGTAGCATCGATTATCAGTTTTAAGTACATTGATTTTATTGGCATCTTGCACCACTCATGTGAATCAAGGCTCATGAACAGAAGAAGTCTTGCAGTTAAGAGGTTAGGCAGACAAATTTGGAAAGTGTCTATTTCTCATACTGACCTTGGTTAAACAGATCAGAATATGTTCAGATATATTTAGCAGTACTTCAGTTTATTGTCCTGAACTCAGCAGAAATTATGCAGTTACAGAATTGTACCTTTTCAATGGACTGGAATCATCTTTGGATATTAAAATTGAATATTTCCAAAATATAACTTTGAAATCATTGCCACTAATCTCTTCACGAAGGTTGCATTTGAACAGTTTGTGCTCTTGTTGAGTTTCTGAAAATATTAAAGTGTTTTAAGGATTAATTATAACCCTGTCTATCCCATCCTAGCTCAAGGTCAATTCTGATCCAAGTGTAAAAGCCTGTTGGGACAGCTGAGGTAAATCTGATTGGCAAACACTTGCAGGTTCAATGATAGCTGAAAGAAAAATGCATTGTGCAACTGAGCTGCAACCAAGCCCTCAAATATCTGATTGGCAGCTGGCTTCCTGAACACCAGATCTGAGCAGAGAGCTGTATATCATGCAATATCTAGGCAGGAACAAGGCAACGCAATCAAGTTGGTAAACAGTGGTGTGGTATTGCACTAGACCTCTCTCGCTGCGATCCTGGAGAGCTCCAATCCAGCAGGTTTTGCAAGATGACAGACTAAATCAATTGATCAGGATGCAAAATAAACATTGTAAGAGATAACAAGCAGACAATGTTAATAAAGATCATACAGAACCAGCATCTAACTTCAATGAATCAGAATTCTCTTAGAACTATACATCTCAGACTTACAAGTGAACCCAGTCTTTAGAAAGCTTATTTAGGGTAGCCTATAAAACCAGCCCTCTAAAACAATCTGTAGGATCAGGGCTACACGTCAAACTGCAGGCACACAATAGGACTACATAAAAGACGAGACCACAGCAAACATGACAAACGGGCCCTTCTGATTAAAGCCACTGGGACAAGCCCCACTCTCAAACGCTACTGAGTATTTGTAAATGTGTAACTAAAGCTATCAAGGTACTCTGAACTGTACAATAAGTTCCAAAAAAAGGTATTCTTCAGCTATAATGCCATTACAGTACATATCCATTTTCCAACCACTTCATCCAATCCAGGCTCTGGTTCCCACACAACCCTATCCCAGCAAGCTCTAGCACATACCCTACGAACCTTTTCAGAAACTTGCAGACTGGCACCACCTACTGGACAGACACCATATTGTGAAGTTGTAGAAAACGTCACTCCCCTTTCTTCACTACTGGAAAAAAGGATCATCAAGAAGTCCGTATTTTACAATGGCTTTTCTTACTTCTAAAGTTTTAGGGGCCTGTGAAGTAAGAGTGCTTATGCAGTCCATTTATACAGGTTTGAATGTGTTCAGCATTGGTCATAAGAAAATTCTTGCTCTTCAAAACCATCCATCATAGCAGCTATGCTGTTAATCTATCAGATCATATTTCCGGAGTTGGTAGGCACAGTCGCCAACATCTGTTTCAGTCTTCAGGAAACACCTGTAGCACAGGATCCCTAGGCAGTGCAATAAACGTTCTTGTCAGTTAGAGCAAGCACAGTTTTATTAAGTCTACAAAAACAGTTACATTAGTGCAAAAATATATAGTACCTCATCACAATAAGAGCTAGTGGAGCTTTCCTACAAAATCAACCGCATGAACAGGTTCAGAGCCAGGTCTTCCATGGACAGAAGTGCAAAGAAAGGCCAAAAACCAAAGTGCAAACAAAGCCAGTTATTTATCAACACAAAAGCAAAGAAGTGCTTTGGGACTGCCAGCAATCAGCTCTGCAAAGCTGTGATCCTGAGAAGCACAGCCACCCAGTGCCACAGGTTTCAAACAGATCAGATTTAAGAGGCATTGCACTGGGAAGGGAAAATACACAGGCAGAGTGTTAAGACTTGTATACACCGAGAAAGCTCCACAGACTTCAACTGCACACCTTTAATCTTCGCTTTGGGTCAAGTGCCTCTAGTACAACATGCAGTGAAGGCAAAACGAATGTTTAACTGCATGCGGAGGGGCTAAAAAGTGGCAGAAAGCCCTTTTCAGAATGTCACCCATGTACCAAATGCCTGCAGGCACTTCGTTTCATTTAGCAAGGCACAGGGGGAGTTAAACACCATTAATATTAGCCAGAACAAGTTTGTATAAAACCTGCATTCTGTCCACCTCCACACTTGGACCTATGTGACCAGGGGGCTTTTTGGTCTCCAGCAACAGCACTCCAAAAAAAAAAAAAATGCACAACAGGAAAGACTCGAATTGTGCCAAGAAAAACCCTATCTGCCGTGAAGTGTCTAAATCACAGCGGCGATCGGATGCATGTGGAGAAAGTGGTTCAGCGGCACCACAAGACTGACAAGGGGCAGCGAGATCACCTCGCCAGCCCCTAGCCACCCCCGATTGCCCCCAAACCCCCCCCCTCAACCTCCCCAAATGCTTTCCACAAGCAAAATGCCAGAAAAATGCACACTAACATCAAAAATCACTGTGCCACAGCTGCCAGATACTACAGGGGGAGACCATTACTGGACAGAGCACTTGGATTTCTTCTTTCCCTCTGGCTGCCCATCTTTTTTTTCCTCCTTCTCCTCCTCGCCAGCTTCCGCCTTTTTTCCCTGCTCCTCCTCCGGCTTCTCCTGCGCTCCGGCCCCTCCCTCTTCCTCCTTCTTGCCGTAGAAGCCGGAGAACATGGCCGGGGCTTCGACGTTCCGGGACAGGCGCAGCATCCACATGTCGTTGCCGTAGGAGTACAGAGTCCCGTCCCCCAGGTCCTGCACCTTGTCCCCCGAGCCCTCCTTCTCCAGCTTGGCGAACTCCAGCAGGTCGATGCCGGTCTGGACGCCCTCCACGCCCTCGGCGCACCCCAGGGTGACGTGGGCGCGGCTCCCCAGGGGAAGGTCCACATCCGGCATGACCTCCTTCTCCGCGTCCGGCGGCCACAGCCTCAGCTGCTCCTCGGTGAGCGCCACGCGGGCACCCACCGTCCTGGGGGTGGCGAAGAAGGCGGAGATCTGCAGGACGGTCACGCAGCCCATGGACTCTCTCACCACCTGCGAGGCCAGAAGAACGGACATGTTTTTTTTCCCCTCCGCCATTTTACAAAGCATCGAGGAACAGGTCTCAAAGAAGGGAAGATCAACAAGTTCTACGGCTGGAGAAGGAAACTGGACACATGGGCTTTCTCTGGAATGTGGGGAGGCTGCACACATTGCACACAGAAAGGTACCCCTCCCGAGACTAGCACACGATACCCGCAATCACACCACAGAGGCACACAATGCCTTTTATTAGGCCCTGCGTGCTCCATCCGAGCTCCAGTACAAAGACTTGGACCAACCTCTTTTTCTGCATAGGCCTTGGCTCCATCAGCCTTCCCAAAGTCGCAGAACTTGGTGGTGCAGTGCAGCACTCCTCTGCTCTGGAAATGCTTCTCCAAGTCCACCTCCCCCTGAGACCCCAGCTCCTCACTGGTAACTGCAAGAGCCAACGGAGATAAGACATCAAGGAAGGTGCCAGTAGTGTCTAGAAGGAGATTTCAGGAGGATCGAGTCCACCGTTTTCTCACTCAAGGGACATTCCCGAGATGAAAGGCACTTGCAGACCTTCAAGGCCCTGCTCTCTCCATGAGTCACACTTGCATAGGCAGAATAAGGAATATGGGGATTTAAGATGAGCATGAAGAGTATCTGGGTTTGATGCAGCTGTTAGAACCGCATTCCAAGGAGCTGCATTAAACCCACCAACCTGAAAACTAGCAGACAGACAAAATTGATTCAAGGGCGATTTAAGATTCGAGATTCAAGCAAGTTTTGAAAACCGTCAAATGGCTGCCGGGGACTGGCGTCCCACCCAGGGTGCACCCTGCCTTGCACCCGTTGGTTGCTGGGATAGCCTCCCACTACCCTCCCTAACCCGGTGCGGGACTAAATTTAGAAAATGAAATGGATGGACAGGGTTCAAATAGGAGGGAAAAAAAAAAGAGCAGTGCCCCGGATTAAGCGTCGCACTCACACTGACTGATGTGCTGCTTGAACTGGTCCAGCTGGCTCAGGGTCTTGAGGAACTCCCTGCTCCTCTTCTCCAGCTCGAGCGCGTGCTTGTGTGCCAGGAACCAGCCGAAGAACAGGGGCAGAGCCGCGGCCTCCAGGGCGCTCATCGCGGACTCGGGCAGCTCCTTCCAGTGGGTCTTCAGCTGCAGCTGGGCCGGGTCGGCCCGCCAGGGCGTCTTGGGCTCCACGAGCAGGACGCAGTAGCCCAGCTCCTCGGCCAGCTCGGCCAGCCTCTCCAGCCGCGCCCCCTCGTGGTGGGTGTCGTCCAGCACCACCATGGGCGTGCCGGCCTTGCAGCAGCTGACCAGCGCCTCGTCCAGGGCCTGGCGCTCGGCGCCCCCGGCCGGCTGCATGCCATAGTCGTCCGCGCACAGCACCTTGCAGGCGTCCTGGTACCGGGCCTCGATGACCCCGGCCAGGGTGGACTTGCCGCTGCCCGGGAGCCCGCGCAGGAGGAAGAGGGTGCGGGCCTCCTTCAGGGCCGCGACCGTCTCGTCCCGGTCCAGGAAGGGGAAGGAGAGGGAGCCCTCGATGTGCTCGGGGGCCGACCCAGGCTGAGGCTGCTGCTGCTGCTCCGCCATGCTGGTGCTGAACAGGCCAGGAAGACCGTAAGGGCGCGTGCGCTGCAGAAACCTTTTGATCTGCACGAAAAATAAAAATAAGACGACCAACCTTCAGACCGTTTCAACCCCTTGAGTTTCCTGCTCGGCACTGCTAGCCTTGGGCGCTGTTTTGCACTGGGAGGAGCAGGAGGTCAATTTTCGACCTCTGAAGCGTGTTAACCGGCCTTGTTGACTGTATCACAGCTGCTCCGAAGGGTGGCGGTTAAGGGAGATTAAAGAGCGCAGCTGCATGTATTTATTCTGATGCAACCAAGCAGAAACAACCGGGTCCAGACTTGTAAAGCGCCGCAATCTCACTCGCGCATCACAATGCAAAGGCTCGTAAAGCGACATCACGTCAGATGAAGCGCTATGCACCATCGCTGCCTGCAGTCAGAGTGGGGTTTTACTACCTTTGCTTGCATTAATTAACTGAATGCAAAATATCACAGGAACAGCGGTGGCCATCCCCCATTTATTATCGGACAATTCGGAGCAACTGAGTGGCGGCGAAATGGAGTTTTATCGCGCCAAACTATACGACAGCATCTGCACTGGAAAGTAACCCTTGTGGATTGAGTCACTATAATCTCAGATGGGCTGTTTGACTCCAAGTGGAAATATACCGCTTTCAAACGAAAAAACAACAATAACGGCTCTTCGTACTGGTAATGCAATCACTTTTGGGTATTCATTAAGCCACAACGGTTAGAATCTAGCCAGGCGACTCAAGACGCACACCAGATAATCAGCAGATGTCCCCCTCCCGTTATATAAAAAAAAAAAACAACACAGCTGACTAGGCTGTTGAGAGAAAAAGACACCTGCTGCTCACTTGATAAAAACAGCCACTGTCTAGGCAGCAGGAAAGGGAAACTCACCAACTTGCATCGACTCAGTTATAAAACAGACCCCCCCGCACTGCCTTGTGCCAGTCATGGGGTCTCTGAGCGACGGAGGAGGGGAATCCCAGCGTAAGGGATTGATTTAATAAAACCTGTGCGACTGTGCGAGGCGACTTCACAAACTGGACCTTAGGAACACCCCCCCACGCCCACACTAACACAAAGACCACAGCAATCACTCCTCCTCACTTAGTTTGAAACACGTTTAATATAGACTTCTCTCACACCTGAAGAAGGCTTCAAGGCCGAAACGTTGTGTTTCTTTTCAGCATGGAATAAACCCGTTACCTGTTCCTCCACGTTTAATATAGACTGGGGAGACGGCTACAAAGCACTAAAAAGGTGTGAATTCGATTTTTTACAGAGACAAGCAGCACAATTCTAACGCTACTCGCTTCTGCAAAGTGGGCAGCGGTCAGGCTCTGCTCTCCAAGTTGTCTACCGGGCACACCCACTTGAAACAAAAAGACTGGCCTTTTAAGAGACGAGGACAGCTTTCTGCATGCATTTATCAAAAGCCATTTCTCAGCTACAGAGGCGCGACATTCGCCAGAAATCGCGCAGAACTTGTCTAGCTCCCCAATCAAGCAATAACGCTTTCCCGTCTGTCCCCAGTCTGCGCAAGAGTGTGGCCAAACCGCGACTGCCTACTAAAAGACGCCCTTTTGTCTGGGACGCTTACAATCTAGGTGGCGAAAAGCGCAGTAGTTTTCAACAATGATACTGTGAACGATAACAACAAACAAAAAAAGTCGCAACAGGTTAAAACTCACCAAGCTGGAGCTGGTAAGCAGCATGCGTGTCACCCTCCTCAGCTCGCGTTGGCGTGTGCTCCTGCAAGCCTGCGCTTTGTACTTGTTTTAAGTGCAGATACCGCCCCCCTCATTAACAATGCCAACAGACCTCCTGCAGGAAACAGAACCAGAAACAGCGGCCTTCCGGCAGCTCTGGTGTGCGCACGTGATGCTTCCAGGGCCGGGCGGCGCGGCGCGCGCTCTCGCGTCGCCCATTGTCAAAAGTGTTTGTTTTGTGTTTTTAAACCAGCACACCTTATTCTATTTGCGAGTCTTAATGACCCATGCAGGAGAAATCAGAACTCCCCGATATGGGTCTAGCTTGTTTCTCCCTAGCCGAAACTGTTGTCGTTTTGTATGGGGAGCAGATTGAAGCTCGCTAGCAGCTGGAATGACATTGTCAGGGTGGCTGACTCCGTCTATTTGTTTACATTGTACCTTCTAGAATAGTTCCTTTCGGGTACCAGTGCAGCCCAAGGACATGAATATGCTTGAATATGCACCTGTCTTCCAGCATTCCTGCTCACCCTGCGGTCTGTGTGCGTCTTAATGCCCCAGTATAGTGACTATAGTGTAAAAAAGGCACCATCTTTCGGATGAGTTGTTAAACCGAGGTCCCGACTTTCTATTTTAATTTAAAATTCTTTGACATGAAAACTTTAAAACACCTTTAAAATATCACATGATTGAACATTTTCCACACCCAGAAAATAAAGTATCTGAATGCCCTACTGCTTCCTGGTGTTACAGGTGTCATGGTTTGATTTGTCCTTATGAGACATGGAATGTCTGTTGGTCAGATGTGTCCTTTTAGACACTGAAGTCGACACTGGTCAGAGTTCTTCTCCCAAACAGACCGATGTGAACTGTGTGCCACTGGAACAGACTGAATTTCAATGTGCACACTCTGCCAAGTTTTCCTGTACATGAATGAAAAAAAGAACTGCTTTTGAAGCAAATTGTAATATCTAATAACTGATAAGTCTATGTATCTAATAAAATAAAATATGCACACCTTGTATGAAGGAATCCTTTGACAACCTTTTAACATCAGAATATTCAACATGAGTAATTTAAACACAGACGTCCAGACATAGAGATTTCCCTGCACCTAAATAATGCTGCCCCTAAATATCATTGTACAGCAATGAAACTTTTTGAATGAATTTTCTATCAAAGGAAGCATTCCTATAATATACGAGCGCTTCTTACTCTTTCTACATAGAACAAAAAATCAGTTCACAAAGGGTCATACTGTACTTTTTTATTTGGATGATAAGGCCAAGTCTTGCGTTCATCAGCCCGTGGTGTTCCGTAGCAATAACAAACAGACGTACGCAGGGATAGACACGTAACCCATTGTGAAACTCTTTCTGTACGGTTCCTTAACAGCAGTCAGCAACAGAGAAGCCCAGTAGGACAAACCCACCCTCACAGGCACTCCCCTGGAGAGTGGGGCGCTGTGCCAGTGTGCGAGCTGGAGAGGAGCAAGCAGAGATCAGCTCTTCACTGAAACGTAGAAAGAAAGAAGAAAGCACAAAGACTCAGCTATGAAGCCTTGTGCAGGTCCGTACATGTATGCATGTGGCTGTACAGCCAAAATGTTGTGTTCTTGCTTCTTTCTACTTTTTTCCAACTTGGAATTAAACTTATGTTACCAGTGCCAGAGTCCAGTCTGACTGCCTGTTCTGGGGCATGGCACAAAGAGCTGGTCAGTCATAAACACCAGTGTCCATAAACACACGCGTCTCGGTGTAGCAGAAACCAAAGGATAAATGATATCACAATGAAAAGGAAGTATTAAATATATATATATATCAGAGGGAATGGCTGCAACTAAAATGAGAATGACACAGCATAGAAAGGACTGAAAAATTGGGATATAAAATGTTATTTTTTCATAAGTTCCTGAAAAGTTTCCTTTTCAGTCTTCGTTAACCTCCATCTTCTCTTTCATTTGCTCTCTCACATTCACTCCATCTAAAAAAAAGGAAAATGAATAACTTAAGCTATACTACATTACCAACAACCAATGAGTGATTGTAAGACAGACTTTCTGGTATGTATATTCATTCAGGAAACTTTCTTTTTTACTTAGATGGAAAAAAGATCTGCTATGAAAAATCAGATTGCATCTTTATTGAGTTGCATCTTTATCCGTTCAGATGGAGTACAATCCTCTATTCATTTCTATTTATTTAAAGTCGCACGTCTGTCCATTCATAATATCCCGCACTTCACTTGAATAAGCGCAGGGCAAAAGACTTAGACTCCAATGATTTGATATTTGCACTTGAAACAGCTGCAATTCGGCTAATTAAGCCATTTTTTATTTAAGACACTTTTTAAATGTTTTATTAATGAGGGGGGTGGAATTCATGAGGAATATCATAGTGGCTCTGCTGAAGACGTAGACGTTCCTTCATCATCAAAAGCTATTAAATACCATCGTCAGCCATCTTTTCAGCTGTGCTCTGATCTGCTTTCGGCTCACCAGTGGTGTGTTTTGCAGCATCATTAAGAGCCTGAAGGACAAAAAAAAGAAAATCAACAGCTTCTAACATCAAATGTATTACCTATGAAAAATAATTTCTGTAGAAGACAAGATAAAACACATACTATACAGTATATATAGGAACAGAAAATAGACATAAGAACAGGAATCTCTCTATACAAATGATTTTGTTCCACTAATCCAAGAAAGGCAATGACAATATCACAGCGCTGTTATCACACCTTTCCTTTAACTCAGAAAGCAGCGGCGTCAACACATTTCGTTCAATTTCTGCTTCATAGATTGGGCCCGTTGCTGGGAGGCGCAATCATGGTGCCTTTCTATAAAGCCTCACAAGGCAAAAGTTCATCAGGCTAAACAAGATGTTCCCTGCAAGAAGAAACTTAGTCTCTCAGCAAGAGGAACGTAGCGAAAGTTCAACTGTATTCAGCAAAAAAAAATTAGTTCCTTGCATTAGTCTAGTGTTGTTCCTCCAAAAGCAGAAGCACTTAACATATGGGGGGGTCCGGTTCGTCCTCCGCTGAAGTTCACGACTCACCCAGGAGACACAAGGCAGCTACTATGCATCAGCAGCCCCTCCACACAGCAGAGCAGTTGGACGACGAAGAGTCTGAATTAAAGGTTGTGCCAAGCTTGAAGTGGAATTTAACCAGGGAATTGGGCTTAATATCCCTACTCTTACAAACAGTGCCAAGTAGTCAGAACCTTATTTTAACATCCATCTGAAGGACACCACATTGTGGAGGCAATATTCTGTGCGCCAGGGCGACATTACCTTCTGGACGGCCTGCTGAGCTGCATCATCTTTCAGGAGCTTGGCGATCTCGAGCGCCTTCTGGAAGGACGTCACGGCAGACGGGAAGTTGCCCAGTTTCACTGCGTGGGGCGAACAGGAGAAAGGTACGGTGAGGGGGCGACGTCATCACCGGCCCAGGGCCACGAGGGGGGGGGGGAGCGGGGCCCGGGCCCCTCACTCACCATCGGACTGAGCCACCAGGACGCTGGCGTTCAGCTGCCACTCGCTGTCCCCCGTCTCCAGGGCCGCTGCCAGCGACCGGTCGCCGTAATCCCGCGCCACCGCGTGGTGGCCCAGCTCCAGGTGGCAGCGCCCGATCTCGTGGAACAGCCACGTCTTCTCCAGGCTCGTCTTGGCCAGAGGGATCTTCTCCTCCCAGCTAAGGAGAAAAAAGAGCACCCCCCACCCCTCTCCCCTTTAATACCGTTTACTGGGCGCCCACCGTTGCCCATTGCGTTGTTTCTCAAGGATGGCAGGAAGCAAGAATGGAAACCAAATATCAGGTCACAGATATTTCAGATATTTTTGTCTAAAAACCCTTAGATATTTTTGCATTATACACAGCCACACAAATTGGAATTACCCTTTATTTCCTGCATCCACTCAGGCTCTCCCACGGCTACCTGCAGAGCCTACATGTATGGCCCACTCTGCAAGCACCACAGCACTCGACGTAAGCAGGCAATGCATCTTAATCAAATAAGCATTCAATTGTACCTGCAAAATTCTACTCTGATAAGGCATTCGGGAATCCTGGAGTGAGTTGTTCTGCTGTCTGTCTTCATATGTAAATGTTCATTTGTATTTAGCAAATAACCCTTTACAAATAGTACATATGTAGAACATAGTATAGTGTTCTTAATCTCAAGGGAGACAGACACGTCACTTATAGGAAGGAACCCACTTCATCCACCACTGGTGTTTATGACTCAGTCAGGTGACACAAGGCAGGCATTGTGCATCAGGAGCCCCACCACTTAACAAATCAGGTGGAGAGTTGAGAGTTTGAATTGAGGAGGTCAGGTCACGCAAGCCTGAAGTGCAATTTAACAGGGGAGCCGGGGCTAACACCCCTACCCTTACAAACAGTGCAATGGGGTCATTAATGGTCTCATCTGAAGTACACCACCTGCTACAGCAGTACCCCGATCACCGTTCTGGGGCACTGGTTTGGAAAGTATCCAGAGAAAAAGTAAAAAACGCCACATTCTGGCCCACCAACACCACATCAGGCAACGGCCTGATTTTCCAAAACGATCTGGGTCCCAGTACCATACCAGTCTTGCCTGTTTCTAAGATGTGATGAGATCAGGCTACAAAGAGGTAAGACTGCTGTCAAACCATCAGTTCAATACCAAACTACATGCACAACTGCTGGTCACTCACGCTTCTATGGCTTGTGGGAATTTTCCAATCCTGGCGTACACTCGACCAATGTTGTCCAAAGCCCTGGATTTTGCTTCTGGAAGATTGCTATTACAAAGAGAGGACAGCGGAAAATCAGAGGCATCAGACAGCGTTTAAAAACTGAATGTGCATTTAAAGGTAGAGGTGTCTGTTCTTGACAAAAAACTGAAACAAACCTAGGGAAAGTCAAATTAACTGGCCTAAATAACCTCTTATTTCTTGGTGGTTAAAAAAGTCCTCTTCCTGCAGTGAATAAAAAGGTCCCAGATCAGTCACATTCGCCAATATGATCTTTAACTCCGAAGTCTAGGTCTGTTTGGTGTCAGGGGAAGACAGTGTTTAGTATCCAAACCATCTCTCTGAGTGCTTGTTTTAAATCCAAATTAATATACAATATTTAAGGTTGGGACAAAGGGGAAAGTGATTCTGAGTCTTACTTCTCCTTGGCAATGTCCAGGTCCCTCTTGTGGTTGTCCAGCGCTCCGTCCATGTCCCCCATCTCGATCAGGGCGTTCCCCATGCAGCTGTACAGGTTACCCATCACCTCCCTCTTGTTCGGCACGTGCTCGTCGGACCAGGCCTGGACCGTGTGCAGGACCTGCCGCGTTTTTTTGCAGCTCCCCTCCGCGTTGCCCGCAGCCAGAGCTGAGAACACATCCGGCGGACACGGCCACACTTAAAGGCGAGTTACAGTCCCAGTTTCTCAGACCGGTTGTTAAATCTCGGTAACAAAAGGAATGCAATGGTCAGATTAAGCACTTTGTGAAAGTACTGCACGTTGCCATGCGTCTTGCAAACTCACATTCTAGTTCCCATGAATTGCGACGTGAAGCAGCCCTTCCTGCTCACTAGTCACTATAATGACTAATGTACTGTGATATAGAGTCTCAAAATCAAAAATTATGTTGCCTCATTCCCAATTGCAGAACATGGCGCAGTTTAGTTTAGTCTATTTTGTTATATAAATTAGAGGTTTTACAAGTCATTATGTACATTTGACTTTTATTGTGGTTTGAAATGCACTCATCAATGCTGAGTCTTTCTAACCCCGGTTTATGAAAATAGCATTGCAGCTCCCCTTTAAAGTGCAATCCTGCATGTGAGGCTAGTTCATCACCAGCTCTGCTGGCCTGGGCTACTGGGGATTAACCTCACCCGCACGTCCATTTACTCAACAGGCGAATATAATTAAAGCGTGCATTTAGTGGATGGACACCCTTCAATTCAATTCAATTCCATTCAAGATGAAGAACCCTTCAGCAGTTGATCCCCTGTCAAGGTGCTGCTGAAGAGGTCAGCTGCACCCGTGTCTGCAGCTGCGGGGGGCTCACCCATGTCGATCTCCTCAAGGCTCCTCAGGATGTATCCGGTGGGGTCGCAGGGCTTGTTCTGCCGGGTCTTGTTCCACTTCTGCTGCATCAGCTTGCGGTCCCGCTCCCGGGCGTAGATGGGCTTCTGCTGCCTCCAGAATTCCGTGCGGGTGTCCAGGTAGGCGATGCCGCCGAGGATGAGGTCCTGGACCTTCATCCCGCTCCGCAGGTTCCCCTTGATCAAATCTGAGGATCACACGTTCCCAGCGACATTAGCGCTCAGAAAACTGGACAGGGGAGGCTCGTGGACTCGACTGGCCCCTAGCAACGGGCGCACAAGCGCAACGGGGAAAAAAAACAAACAGTTGATCCTACTTGGCACAAATAAAAAAAGATTATTCCAGCTGAGCAGCCAAAACTGCCGACAGAAGTGTGTACACATCGAAATCATTCACAGCCACCTCAAACAGGGATTTAAAATACGCTCTGAAAGTTTTGATTCCGATTTTATGCTAGAGCAAGCTCTTTGTTATTTTGGTTTCTGAATGAACAGGGTAAAAAGTGCTATTTCATACTGATGCGTCTCGCTGCGCTGAAGATGCTGAGAGACGCCCAGGAGTGAAGGGTGATCAGTGAAAGAGCACTAGGCACCTTCATCTTTCAGCAGCTTCTCCAGGTACTCTTTGTCGCTGTACAGCTCGCCAAGCAGCTGCCTCGCTGTCTTCTCCGTCTTCGGACTCTCCTTCTTACTCTGCTGCTTCTGCTCCCTCTTCAGGGGCCTGACCGCTTCCTTAGGCTTCCCTTTCTTGACCTGCAAGAGGCTCAGAATTACCTACCGGTGTGCCCAGAACTGCCGATGGACCAGTTATCACATCTGTCACACGCCCCTGCTTTCTCTTACTGGGCTTGTGTTATGAGAACATTAAGACAGGTTACAAATAAGAGATGGCCACTTAGGCGATCTAGCCTGTTTGGTAGTTAGTAGATAATTCATCCAAGAATCTCATCCGCCTGTTTCTTGAAAGAAGCCAAGATGACTAGATAGCCTGTCTCCTACAACCACACCCCTTTGGGGAAAGAGGTATCTCCGATTCTCAGTTTTAAATGCACTTTCACGTACAGTAGTTTCCAGTTTCAGCTCATCAGTCTAGGAGATTCCCTTAAGCCCCAGGATGGATTCTGTTGTTTTGATAAGTTCTACAAACAAAAACAAAATATACTTTGGTGCCCCATATTTACAGAGATTTGCTGGACACAGAAGACACAGTAAATAATGTCATTAGCCGGACAGAAATACAAAGGAACTTGTTCCCCTTAACACGCTCTTATTAGTAATGAAAGCTAAGAGCACCCCCAATCATTTTGAAAAACGGCACTTAAGCTCCCTGTTTAACAGCATTAACAAGTAAGCAACCTTACCTCATCCTTTTTATGGAAGAAAGACAGGTCTCCTTTGTTTTCCAGCTTCACAGATGAAGGGCCTGGGAAACAGAAGAACACATTTGAGACCATTAACATTCCCTATAAGGTCTATTGGAAAGGTCTTTGGAAAGAAGGATGACTTCACCTACCACTGTTAAGAATCGTAAAAGAAATGGGACTACTGCTTATAACTAAAATTTTTATTTTTGTATATCCTTGCCAGCCCAATGCTATTCACAGAATCAATGCAGAATGTAACACAAATACAGTACCACACCTTGCAGTTACTAAAGCCCGAGTCATTCCAAAAGACATGCTCACTCTCACCCCCAGGGCCAATTTTTGCAGAAGCCAATTAACCTACTATATGTGTTTTAGACCGGAAACTGGAGCACCTTCTCATGCAAACATGGGGAAAAACATACAAACTCCATCCCAAGCCTGTAACTGAATCCAGGGCCTCAGCACTGCCAAGGCAGCAATTCTAACCACGTGCAAACGTGCCGCCTATATAGCAGTTAATTGCCATATTTAATTCCTTATCCTTTTCTAAAGCTCTTGACCAGCACATTCCATGAGTGCACTCGGCTTACTTACTTCCTACAGAATTATCGATTGCCTCCTGTGCTTTTTGGATGCCCAGTCTGAATTCCTGGAGCTCCGGGCGCAGTTTGTGTCCCCGATGATAAAACACCAAAGCAAATTCAAAGTCTCCCATTGCGTACAGAGCCTCTGCTTTCTGATAAAGACCCTGAGGGATTCACCAGGTTAGAAACAGTTAATGACTTCAAAATAACACCACTTCGTCCTCTGATTTTCTTCCGCTGCCTGCTCACAACGTCTACAACATTTCATGAGTTCAACTTCATTTAACGCTGGCAGGTTAAACAAACAGTCTATCAGTATAAAGCATTGTGGTTTCTCTTGAAAACTGTATGCTTGTTTATAAATGGAATGAGACCCCTTGTGTGCCTGTAAGGTCTTACAGACTGCTCCTCAGATTCTTTGATGCAGCTCTGCACTTGCTAATGTCGTTGTACTGTGTATTGTTATGATTGTATCTTGTTGAATTTATTCTGTTGACACTATTTTTTTCCCCGGCTGAGTTTTTATGGTTTAAAAGGCCTGATTGCATCATTAAGGATTCAGACACTAATGTCTGACTATGCTGGAAAAGTTCTTTTTTTTAAACCTTTGGCTGCCTGTACAATGGTCTGGACCAGAGCTTTTCGCTGTGCACACTGACTTATGACTGCGCCTGCTAACTTGAATCAACTCTAATTTGGTGGAACGAGAGGACGTGCCTTGAAGAACTCGTTGTCTTCCTTGAGGGACGACTCCGCGTCCTTCAGTGCTTTCTCTGGGTCTCCCATCTTCAAATAGCAGCGCGACCGAGCCACCAGGCAGTTCCTGTCGTCAGGCTGCAGCGACAGTGCCTGCAGGGGGAGTCAACGGGAGTTGAAATGGTTCTTCTGAAGCTTTTGAGGACCGCGTTCAGACTCAGTGCAACTCTCTCTGATTTTGCAAAAAGGGTACCCAGAGCATCGAGCACCAAGATAAAAACAATTGGCAGTTTATACGTGAGAGCATTAACGGCTTTTTAATATGCACTGAACACAATGAGCACGGTTTTAAAAGGCGTTAGCATGGTCGCTTTTACATAGGTTTACCGTGGTATAGCTTTCGATGGCTTTGACATGCTCCCCCTTCTGATACAGCTGATCGCCTTCCGCAATGTAGGTGGTAAACGAGCTCTTGGGGCCCTGCTCCCCTTCGTCTTGGTCTGACATGCCGGGTTATCTTTAAATATATATGTATTTCCCCCGTAAAAATATCAAACTTGTCGGAAATTGAGTCGCCTGATGCACTCCGCGTTGTGTTGGTAAGCAGCACGGACGGTATCCTAGCAACCAACCTAACTATTTCAGAACCACTTCCGTTTCCAAATCAAAACCAGTGTTGACATTTTTAGACCCACCGGAAGGAATTACGACTACTTTCTGGTAATCTTCGCAAATGTCGACTCGGTAGCCCATTGTGAAATTTGACTTAATTTGGTGGCTTAGTTAAAGGAGGGAATATTTATCAACGGCGTTTCCATTTGTAGCACTTTTAAGCGAAAGTGCGCCCCCTGCTGTAATGTCCAGCTCAAGCAGATCGATGAGGGGTTTGGGGTAGATGGCAAATTCAGATCATTTTGACCCCTTAACCAGCAATCTTTTCTTCCAACCAGCCTATAACATTCGTACAGGTCTTGAAAGGAAAAGTAAATTAATATGTTGCTTCAGAAGGAAGCCAGGGTTCCTGGAGAAAACCTATACAGAGGGGAAGAAACTGAGCACTACAATGTAAACAGCTGTATTACCATTTAAAACCTGCGGGCGACTCACTCGGCTCCACACCCTGGAATTCGCCATGCTTCACGAGCTGGTGTTTTGTCTGTCTGTCCCCCCCACCACATTCTCCACCCAAAGACAGGGCAGATCACTAAAGCAGGGTTCTCCAACCCTGGTCCTGCAGAGAACTGGCCCGATTCTTCTCCCCCACTCCTGTTCCTGGGAATCCCCACACCTGCTGGTCAGCATTGAGCCCTTTATTTAAACAGTTGGCTTTTTTGGAACCTCACTGGTGCTTGGTTAGCACCTCCCTCTGTTTGCTCAGAAGCTGGAGACCTTGAAGTAGTTAAGTACAGTGGTGGGAATGCAAATTTCCACAGGTCGAGGAACTGAAAACGAAGCTGAGATTCAGCTATTACTAGGTCTATAAAGGGTTCAATTATGTGAGTGTTCAGGTGGAGCAAAACCCAGCAGGTATGTGGGTCCCCAAAGCCAGGATTGGGAAACCTCACTCTAAACATACTCCTTCATTTCCTGATGGCTTTCCTAGGGACAGAATAATGGCACAGAAAGCACACAGATTCACACAGCATTCAGAGCTCAAACTATGAGATTTTTATAATACTACTAACTACATAAACAGTTTGGGGGTGAGTGCGGGTTCTTCTTAAACCATAGTGATACATGTCATAAACTCATCACTTCAGGTCATCCACACCTGAAGAAGGCTCCACGGCCGAAACGTGTTTTCTTTCTTCTTTTTTTCCAGCATGGAATAAACCCATTACTTGTTCCTTTGCAGCCTACGCATGCTGACGCAGCTCCCCACCTGAACTACTACATCCCATAAACTGCTACACGAGCCAACATTGCTGGTACAGTGGAGTTGATTTAATAAGTGTGCATTATATACATACAGCCTTCAAATATCAAACCCCCGTGGTTTGCTTTTGCATCAGGAGATGAATTTTGCGCCGAGCATGCCAGCAGAATGGAGAACATTTAAGGTCTAACAGACATATTCAAACAACTAACTTCAGGTGCTCTACTTCCATCATTCAATATCGACGGACCTTTTCAAATTCTGTAGCTGATAATATCAGTTTGAATATGGTTATTAACTATTAAAGAATTAATAGGAAAAAAGCACCCCTCTCCTGGAGCAGTAACCACATGGCTTGAAAAAGAGGCCATGGTACCGCACTGACAACTGCTGGTCACTGGAGGGATCTTTGCATCAGAAATACCTGGAGGCTGCATAAGCCACTGACTCATCAGTAACAGAATCTGCAAACCACATTCCAACACTCCTGTGGAGATGTGATAATAGCATAGTGTTAATGAAAACATGCCCACTGCTAGCACAACAGATTGTAGGTGACCATTACGAAATAACTGGCTGATAATTAAAATCTCAGTCTTTCCTGTTTTAAAGACGATGGGTAGTTACGCAGCAGCATTGCAATTGAAGTTAATGTTTTCTAAAGTGCATTAACGTATTTTTACTTTTTCTTCATCATAATCACGTCGTTTACGACACAGTCATTTACAAACACTACGTGATATAGCACTCTGTACTCTAACATTTATTACAAACGTCACTTTAATGCCAACACAACGTTTTAAATACACAACAGTACTGGGGTACAGTCCTTAAAGATCGTAATTTTAAAAATGAAAGGCCAGAACCTTTTAAAGTGGGAAGTGTTCCACTAAAATGTTCAGTATAACAAAGATCCTACTTGAGGAATTTCAATAACTTTTTACTAATTTCTAAAATATTTAACATGATATCACCTTAATTCAATATTTGGAGGCCGTTACATAAAACAACAGCAATCATAAAACCCTTGCCTGTTAAAATAATTAAAGAGTTTGTAAAGTACGAATATAAAGATACAAATGTTTAAACATTTCAATTACAACATATGATAGCCTATCTCTTATAATAAATGTTGCCTGTGGGGGAAGCACACTTACTATGATAACCTACTGCTTTTTTGTAATAAAACATGTGATTGGGTAATTATACTCTGAGGTGATAAAATGTGACTTACTGTTAATGTAGTCTAGTATTATCAGATTCAGATTTGCATTTTTAAAATACTGTACGCCTGTTTGTACGAAACTGCTGCTTACACTATATACCATTCAGTATTGCATTCACTATCCTATGGAAAAAAAGGAAGAGCATTTGAGAGATAAAAGATGCATATTTAATATCTATAAACAAAAAAAAGATTACTATAGACATCCCTCTATATTACTCCGGTGGCATATTCAATTGAAAAATGGTTATGCATACATCAGGTCAACACAGAATGTTGTTTAATAATTCAAATTGAGATACACTGCAGCTGCTGAAATTAAGAAAAGGGACCAGGCCTTGTAAAAACAAAGAATTAAAAAAAAACGCTTGCTCATACTCCCCCATTGCATCTTCACTTGGATCGCTGAGCAGAATTAACACATAGGAGAGTGAATGTGCACCATAACAGAGGTCTCTGAAAGGATTTGACATTATAACATGTGGTCATCAAGTCTCCTGAGGGGCTGTCATTACAAAGGCATGAATGAAGGCAAAATATATTTTAAGGGGTCCAGAGCCTTTATGTTATTGGGATTACTAGAACATGACATTTGACCAAAGCATTTTCTTTAGATACAAAAGTAAGTGCAAATACTCACATTCATACACACCACTCCTGACTGGGGCCAGACAGAATAATATTTGAGATTTAACTGTTTGCCAACAGCAAGAACAGTGCCTGGCAATGACAGGAGCTGATCACATGCAGATCAGGGCGAGGGTGAGGGGAGGCCCGGGCCGAGGGTCAAAGGTTTCTCTGTATGGACCCAAGACTACCAAACACGTTCACACTGCAGTTTCATTCTTCTCCGAGTAAAGAACCAAAAACAATCCATGCTTACCATTGCAGGTAGTTAGCCAACTAAAATTAATCAGCCCCCTCAAGAGGCATCAATGCAATGCACTGCGAGCACATGCCTGAGTTTTGCAGTGCTGGTACCTTTGGCAATAACTCCATTCAAGGTCAAGAAAAACAGGCCAGCAAAGTTAACAAAATACATCAGCGAGGAGTGAAGGATTCTGGGTTTCTTCGGTCTCGCCTGTTCAATGGATCAAATTTCAGGGTGAGAAGCTTTGAGAATGGGGGGGGGGAAAAACCATACCTCGACTTATAAAAACGAAAGGAAAAGAGAGGCTAACTTTATTTACAAATTTACGACGAAAATTAATTCATAATCCAATGACTTTTTCCATGCAAGAGACGTGGAGGTCATGTCGAGTCCCCGCCTTTTGAAGCCTCTGCACAGTTCTCTAAGATCGATTTGCCACAAAGACAACCCGTACGATTGGGAATGAGGCCACGGCTTGTGAAATTACAATAAATATTATATAAAAAATTTCTTCAGCTATCAACACAAATAGACACTTTACATTCCAGTAAAATGTACAATGAATGCACCAATGATCGACTGGCAAACAGCACACTGAAGCCAATGAAGATTGGATGACCAATGAACTAGCCACTGAACCGGCTAGCATCAGCAGCATAATGCAGTGTTTAGATGTTTACTCCATTACCTCAGCATATTTCAAAAGCACATTATTTGTTCCTAACATGAGACTCAAAAGGAGTGTATTCACAAAGTATTTCGCATGGAGTTTAGGACAGTTCTCTCACCCCTTCCTTCACATGGAAAAGACTCGGTCATTTCTAAAAAAAAAACCAACAACAATCACTGCAGTTTCAAATGTGATAAAAGGAATACCGATACTTTGTGAATACAACCTAAATGGCAAAGAGAAAGGTAGAACAGGATTCAAGTATGTTTTGTGTGTGGTTTTTTTTTTTGTTTTCACATGCTTTATTCTAGGTTTCTTCCCAGCTGCTCTGTCTTGGGACTGCGAAAGGTTTTCCACTCAGGTGAAATCTCTGCTCCGGACTACCCACAACATCAACAGTCTCTGAAGCAAGACAAAGCAGAGGCCACCTGCAGCTACGCTCCATCTCCAGCAGGAGTCCTACTGTGATGCATGAAGCTAAAGTTTCTCCATTTTTTGGGGGGGAGGGGGACAGGGCATACCATTAAATGTACAATGTATTCAGAAATGTCTGGTCTCTGGTTTTTAAAGAACGGTCGAGCACAAAGTGCCCTCCTGCATTTCAGTTTCAGAGGAACATTAATCCAATCTAAGAACCATGCACCAATTACAGTGACTACGTTTTTTTTAAGAACCATTACGTTCCAGGAATATACGATTAAAAAAAAAAGAGGCAGTCTTATGTTTCTTCCGTTATCTATCCACAAGGTGATTTAACTTTCGTCACATGTGAGCATAAATAGAGAGGTATCCAACTGAAAACAGAAACTACTGGAACATTAAAAACAGGGAGGGAACATGAGTCCGTTTCAGTGATGTCCATGACAGAGCTTGGCGAACGTGTTGCTGGCCTCCACCCTTTACCCAAACTGGAAGAAGAAATTCCCGGGTCCAGATGCTATAGGGAAGATAAGAAAAAAAAGGAATAATTTAAAAAACATTCCTTCGGCTTTCCCTTCAAAAGGTAAAGGCGGCTATCTCGCAGCTCATACATACTTGAATTACCTTCAAAGCTGAAACCCCCCGGACCACCGAAGAATGCCTTAAAGATGTTGTTGGCATCGAAATCTGAAAAAGACAGATCAGAAAAAATTGGACTCTTATGCTTAGGAAAAGACTGCTTCTAATGGGAAAACTCTACACAGTGCCTTAATGGCATGTAATATTATCATTATTGATAATAAATAATGCAACTATGCTCTATTTAGCCTAAGAAGCAAGAATAAATTTACAGTAATAAATGAGAATAATTGTTTCAACAGCACAATATTTCACTACTGCAACTTGAGCGAAAGACTTTGATCAAGGATATAACAGAATCTCACCACATATTTGAACCCTCGCTGAAGCGGACAATTCTCGAGATTTCATCATAAAACGAAAATTGAAAGCAAGTGCAGTAATATCATAAAACATTTCCAAGGAAGCAAATGCTCCTGGTCAGCCACAACCCAGCAGGATGTCTAGGACACTCTTAATTAGTAATCAAAAAAAGACTCGTAAAACTATATGCTTTTGATGAACTTAATTTTAAATATTCTTACTAACAAGGACCTCCAAGGTTGCAGGGCACTCTTAAGCTGTAATACAATTTCCTTATTAATCCAGTTATCTGCCAAGCAGGTCAGCTGGCCCCCTTGGCAAGTAATATAATACAATGGTAATATAATGGTAACTCACAAACGCTGGTGAGCTGTGGCTCTCCAGGACCAGGATTGCTCATCTCTGATCAATGAAGGAAACATTAATTGGGAATGGAAACCCAGAAAGCCCAGCGGCGCTCAGGGCTGGGAGACGGAGACTGACCTCCCATGTTCATGCCATCATCGTCCAGGTCCTGACCGCTGTCGTATCTGGCCTTCTTCTTGGGGTCCGAGAGGACGGTGAAGGCTTCTCCCACCTCCTTGAACTTCTTCTCCTCCTCCTTCTGCACCTCGGGGCTGGCTCCGCTGTGGCGATCTGAGCCGGGAGAAAAGGGTCGTAAAGAAGGAAACTTCTTATGTGGGTGGCAGCAGGTTCTAGCACAACCATGCGGAGATAAGAAACGCTACAAACAAGAGGTGGCCACGACGCCTAATTTCGCCCGTTTCGCCTGGTAGTATAGGCTAAAGATCTCATACGGCTGTTTCTTAGAAAAAGCCCGGACACTGGTGGAAGGAAAGAAAAAAAACAGCTGAGTGTCTTTAATGGGGAGAAACAGGATTTGGTATCTAAGCTGCAGGCCACAGCAGCAAAGGAGGCCCACATGATGAAAGAGACAATGTGGTATTGGGCCAAACACGATCTTGCAGCAAATTATGCAGATCTAACATCTAGAAATTTAGCAGGGAAACTTTACAAAGCACAGTTGAATCTTATAGTGATTTAAAAAACAAATTGATGACTTATGTCCCGTGTGGAGCACTGACTCCACTGCCCTTACCTGGGTGGTGCATAAGCGCTCGTTTTCGGTATGCCTTTTTGATTTCATCTTCCGTGGCGTTCTTGTCCACTCCCAGGACTTTATAGTAATCTTTTCGCTTGCTTTTCTTCAGTTCCAGCTGAGCTGTCTTGAGTAGAATCTTGTGTTCTGCGAGAGAAGAAAGGATGTTTCAGCATGCACAGTTTAAAAAATTCTGGTATTGACCGTACCTCTGAATATTCATGAGTATTGCGCTTATTGGCGCAATACCAGTGGCAGTACACAATTTAGTCAATCTATGTGCATGTAAGCCTTCAGGTTAGTAAGAATGTTGCTGCCACTGATATTTTGATACATCTCAAATCCAGAAAGTGTCACAAACTCATCCTCTGTAAATACAGAATCAAGCTAGCAAAGCAAACCAGCAGGTGGCACTCTGAAGTACAGAAGATCATACTGTAAATGCCAAGAAGTGGGAAGATGAGAAGCAACATTTTCAAATAAGATTTTTTCCCACTTAAATGTAACAGAAGGCTGCATAAGAAACAGAATTGAGAGGAGACCTTCTGGTCCATCGTGCAACCCAAACAATCTGAAATCAATTTATATTTTGAACAAGCATGGTCCGTGGCAGAAAGCTCAGTTTATCACTGCTTATCAAATAAAAAAATATACCTTTTGTTTTCTCTGTCTGATAGACTTTTTCATAATCTCGCACAGCTTCCTCATATTGCTCGGTGTCCATGTAACTGTAAAACAGGAGGGAAAAAACCTTCAGCGATGTGTATTCCTGGCTTTATTTCCCCCAAAATTTCAGGTGTCCCATCCAGATGTTTGCCTCTGTTTTTCCACATGAATGGAGATGATGAAGAGCCTGGAACTCAAGTTGCCCCAACCCTGATCCCTGTGACCTTCATGTCATCGGATGTTCATCACCAGTTTTTTAACCTGAAACTAAAACCAATGGCAGGGAGAGTCCTATCCAGAACGTAACGTCCATGTTGATGTCGAAAACATGCTTGACCCAACAATGGCTTTCCCCTGCTCGGGGGCCTGTCAGGGCACAGAGAGGTCTCAGAGAAGGAGGCACTGGCCCTGCATCGGCCTGCCAATCACTGCCAACACTCCAGATCCATGCCACAGAGCCCGCAGCATGACAAACTGCACATGGATCGTTGTGAGCCCTTGCAGGGAAAAAAAACCTTCGACAGCGCTGCTTTCTGCATACTGGCATGAAGGTTGTGGGGACATGCCAAGCTCATCAGCCACTGCCAATGCATCAGTGTGATGAGGAAAGTGGAAACATTTTTGGGGATACCAACCTTAAAACAACATAAAGCTCTCTTACCATTGTGCTCTCCGTAAGTATGCTTTGATGTAAGTTTCGTCCAGTTTTATAGCATTTGTGCAGTCTTCTATTGATTGCTCTATTTTATTCAGCTGTGGAGGGGAGAAAAAAAGTAATTTAATATTTGGGGAGCTACGGGATACCAAAAGGTGATGCCTCAGTTTGGAAACAGCCTTCAGATATTTCCTGTGCCCTGAAGCCGTACCTGAACTTGGTGGAAAACAATTAAAAAAAAGATGCCGAGTTCTAAAAACTTAGAACTGGAGCAAGCAGTTTCACAGATCTCCGATGTGTTTTTAGAGGGAATGAGGAAACCTGAGCCAAAAGGCAGATTAAGCATTTTCTCCAGAAGCAGTGATTTCAGCAGAAAAAAAGAACAGCCACAATGAAAAAGAGAGCACAGTGAAAAGGGCAACATGAGCAAACCAGAATATTTAATTGGAAAAACATGACTGAAATGTGCATGTTTGAGGACAAGCTGTGTTCTGCTGCCTTTTACCTCAGCACAGACTACTGTGCCAATCACAGACGAGCAGCAGAAAAAGTCAGCACCCGATGCATGAAAGAACAAGTCATCTGGCAACTATCGCCGTAAGAATAAACAAATGTATACGTACAACTATTTCTTAAACTCAAAAGGAGAAACACAGTTAAGTTGACTCTTCACTTAAATTACACATCCACTCTGTGATACCTGAGCCACTTTCTCTTAAGAACCCTGGACATTCTAGGCACTGACATTGCTTAGATTAAAAGAGGATAACGAAGGGTGCATTAATGCCACATGCTGATGCTGGCTTCGCGGATTTCTCTCTAGGTATGGCCCAAAGAAAGAAATCTTCATAAGATTGTTCTGCATCCTTTCCTTTTATACCAGGTTGATTTGTAATAAGCCAACTGCTTCTTTATGTCACAGTAATTCTAAGAAGGAAGGTAAGACATGCTCCTCGAATCCATCCCACCCATCAAACCATTCATCTTTTGACACACTGCTGACTCTGGAGCTTGCCGGGAGAGTTACCAATGATGGGAGGAGCAGCACATCTCACTAATGAGAAAGAAGGCCAGAGAAGTAACAGGGGACTCTGTTTTGCTAGACATTGAGAGTCCTTGAAGATGGATCATATTCCTCCTATTCTCTAGCGATAGTCTGCCAACTGTGCCCCTCCTTTTAGGGAATCCTGGTCACAGCTGGCTAGTGGCATAACCCAGGCCAGAAGTTTTAGCATCTGGATCTCATGCTCTGAGTGAGCCACATGGAACCCCCTGCTATAATGAAGTTAATTAAGGCAAGAGCAGGGGTAGACACCAGTACATCACAGGGAAAGCTCATTATGGAAAGCCTGTTAAGTGATGCAAAGGAGCTTAGCCAAATTACATCAGTCATTAACATCAGCCCACTCCAGCAGCTGTAGACCTAAAAGCCAGAAGACCTCCCTTTGTCAAGCACTTTTTCCAACTTGGACTAAAGGACCAGCACTCAGATTCTGGCTGTTTTTCTAATAGCATTTCTTTTAATTGCTTTGCCAATACTCCAAGTGGAACAGTAGTCAGGGCACTGCTCTCTTAAGTGGCAGGCTCTGGGTTCAAATTCCAGGTGCTGTCGTGTTCTCAAGCAAGGTGCTTTAACCAAACTGTTCCTGCAAAATGCCCAGGTGTGTGAATGGATGCATGTTGGATAAAAGCATCATCCAAAGTAATCATGTTCAGAATCTGACCTACAACTAATTTGAAATAAAAACCAAACTGTGTACCAGGTAGAGTTGAACCAAAGGGAGCAACCTTAAGAGTCATTTAATTAACAGCACACAACAGACTTTCACTGGTGTTTTGATGCAGGATACCCCTTCCATAATTACAGAACGTCCTTTTTAATGTTTTAAAATTAAATTTAAGATTTGTGCAAGTATCTAGCCCCACGTAGATCACAACTGGAAACCAGCAGTAAGAAACAAATCACAAACCCAGAGGTTGATGGCATAGGACTGGAGTTTTTTTAAATCCTATTAGAGGGTGCAAGTCTGATTTCAGTCAGCGCTGTTCCGCTAAAGACAGTTTCTGTGGAGTGCCGCCATACCTTTGAGCCCACAGTGCCCCTGTTGCAGTAGAGCTTGGCGTTGGTCTTGATGTTGTTGGGGTCTATTTGTAGTGCCTCAGAGTAAAGCTCGTAGGCCACCTCGTAGTTCCCATCCTTGAAGGCTTTGTTCCCTTCCTCCTTCTTCGCTTTCAGCGCCTTGGCATTCTGAAGAGGGGAAGGCACAGTCAGTCAGAAACATCACCGTGATCAGGACGGCTTTCAAACACATCACAAACTTATACCAGTCAAAGACTTTGCATTTCTCATAACTCATATTTTCAAATGATAAGTTCACAATCTCAACTGAAATTAGAATTAGACTGCTGACCATGTTTTATATCTTACATGCACTTGCTCTCCTAAAATATTAAGACAATGAGCTAGTTGGTAAACAGAAGAGGAATCACTGATACATTAAACATAATTTAGCAAACATTTCATATACATCATAAACAATTATGTATTAGTGAGTAGCCTTGTTTTAGGCAAGGTCCACTTCAATGCATAAAGCAGGCACACAAATCACATCATATGGTGTCAGTTTAAACAGACATAAACAAGTGTTATGTGGCTGTAATACCACAACTTAGCACTAGAATATTTAACTTTAAAAAGATCAGGCTCATTTAGTAACAGGCACTCTACCGTGATTGGTACTGTACATCCCTGTAATTTACTTTTAAAGGACAGAAAAATAAAAAAGGTGATTCTTCAAAAACCGTAAACCAAGCAATTCTCTACAGCCACATCAAATGAACTATGTCAAGGCTGTGAGGAAGACGGGAGCTGCTTTCATACGCACTCGGCACGCCAGCCGCGCCTTCTCGTGATCGGGGGCCATGCGCAGAGCCTGCACGAAGAACTGGACGGCCTTGTCGATGCAGTCCTCGTAGTACAGGCACAGGCCGCGCACGTACAGCGCGTCGCCATTCGTGGAGTCCAGCCGCAAGATATCGCTGGGAGAGAAAAGACGAGAGCTGAGACGCGGCCGAGCAGCACAGAAGCAGACTGGAATGAAAAGGCGCGCGAAAGACTCAAAAGCATCAATGTACCATACCAACATCTCAATAACATACAATCAACATATGCCAGCAGCCATATCACCCTGCCACTCACAACTGACAACCCACTGAAGCTAAGCAGGTGCGGGCCTGGGCAGTACCTGGATGGGAGAAATCTAAGGAAATTTTCCCTGAATGAAACGTCTTTTTGCTCACTAACACTGCCCTCTTGTAATGTGAAGGGATCACCAGTCAGATCATGTGGCGTCAGACTTCTCCTGTGCGGTAAGCAGACTCCCATAACCCCCACCTGGCTACAGACTGGGCTTCAGGGTAGCGCCCCAGCAAGGCCAGGCACTCTGCTTTCAGGATTTTGAAGCGGTGACACACGGGGGCATATTCCAAGGCACGGTCCATACAAAACACCACCTGCAGACAACCAGTGGGAGAACAGTCTTATTACATGTGCAAACATGGAGATCTTCAGCAGCTGCTCGAATGGAAGGAATAAAACACAGCTTCCTCTTATATCCCCTGGCTCATGTTTCACTGTCCACTGGGTTGACTTTATCATTGCCTTTGAGGATGCTGAACACTTGTGTCAGTTACCCTCAGTCTTCTCCGTCAAGACTAAAAAGGTTCAGTACCTGTAGCTTGCGTGAGTAGGGCACCCCTCAGTTGCTCTTGACCTATTCCAGTTCAGCAATATATGTTTTATAACACGGTGACCAAAACTGTGCACAATTCTAAATGAGGCCTTACTAGTACATTGCACTTTTCCCAATAACTAGTTTTAACAGAAGAAAAACATTACCCTTGTAATCCCTGCACGAGCTCTGTAGGCAGAACTTTAATTTGTGTGAAAAAAGTACTCTACTTCATAAGCATGCAAAGATCTTAACTTCAGCACAGGACCCTCAAACTCCTCCATTTGCTTTCTAAAAGTAGATCCGAGGCACGGTGAGTCAGGAATGACACGTACCTTCCTGAAATCCCTTTTCTCAAAGTCAAACTCTGCCATCTTCTCATATTCCAGCACTGCGTCTGCATTTTTCAGCTGCAAAGTTGGAAGGCAATCATGAAAATTGACAACAATTTGTCTTTACACCTAAACTCCAACACCAGTGAATATACTCTGTGATTTTTGCCTAGTTTATTGCAGTAATGCACAATCTAAACTAGCATTGTAACTGTAATGTACTGCAAGCTGCTTCAACTCTCACAAAGGTTTTAGGATCTGCAACCAATTCCAAATTGCCAGATGGGATTCCAGTAGTTTACAGGGAGCTGGTCCTGGACTCACCTCTTGCTGAGCCTGGCTGTTGTCTGGCTCCAGTTCTAGAACCTTCTGGAAGCAGCGTCTGGCTGCCATGGCATTACCCAGGGACAGGTGGCACTTCCCTTCTCTGAGATGTCCCTACAACCCACGCGGAACACGTGCAAGAAATAGAAAGGGGGGAAAGACCTTTTATTAAAAGGTTAATTAAACGTAATTACATTGAAAGTAATTAAAGGTTAACAAAATGTAAATTAAAAAGCCACATTATTACTAAGCTAAGGCACAGAAGAATAAATGCCAGGCATTACCCCATACATTCCTACACAAAGTAAACTGATCTCTAAATCACTCAGAATGGAGATGAAAGCGGAATAATAGCCTACAAGAAAATTATGATCCATGATGCATACAGAACTATATCTCACTCATGAAATTACATAAGACAGAGATGTGTGATAACCTTTAGATGTCTAGAGCACAACAACACTGAAGTGCACTTTCAGCTAAGAAGGAATTGATTAAAAGGAACTGAACTCAGGCATTTAACAACAAATTTAAATTGTCTCGACAATATTAGGACAGTTCCTTGTGCCACCTGTATTTCTTTCTGGCATTTGAATTGTAGTCCCCAAAGAATGTCACTTTCCAGTTGCACTCAATGGTCCTTATCAGTGCAGCCACAAAACTCCACACCAACTGAAAACCCTAAGAATTCAGAAGGTGCTCGTGCTACATCAAGGGCTCTTGTTAGCGCACACACGCTGACAGGGCGATCTGGAAATAAAAGGGTCGGGCAAAATAAAAGCCCTGCAGCCGCAGGTGCCGGGGGCGCCCGCCTCCAGTGGCCCGCGCGATGCCCTCTTGCATACCTTGACGAAAGAGTCGTCCAACCGCACGGCCTGCTGGGCATCTTCCAGGGCCTCCCGGAACCGGCTGAGCATCATCAGAGTGGCGGCTCTGTTTCCATAGTAGCTGGCATTTTTAGGGCAAGCGTCTGCCATGGCAAACGGACACAGGGGTTAACGTCGTTTCTTTTACACAGGCCTGCGAGGAAAAAAACCAGCTGGGCGGAACAAGGATTACTTAAAATACCCTGTCAGTTCTTCAGCAACATTTTCTTAACTTATACTTCAATATCTGTATCTGCCCCAGCTTCTATATCACATTTATGACAATCTTTTTTTAAATCTGGCAAATTTTATTTCTCGCCGCACCGATCACTGTGAAGGAGGCGGACTAAAGTGACGGGGAGCTCCGCTGCCTAGGATACCTCGGTCATGTACAAAAGCCTCAGTTCAGGCAGTCCCAATGTGATTACTGCCAGGAAAGGACACTGTGACACAGTGCAAAGACTGGTCCTGCCTGACTGGTCCAGCGAATTCTGCCCTCCCTGACCCTTGGGAACAGTAAGGGCCAGATGGCACAAACTGTCAATCAGCAATTAAGATCCGACAACTCCCATCAAGAGACCTTTTGGACCCATGAATAGAAACATCAACCTTGCTTTTGCTTCCCCTACACTTGAACAACACCTTTAAAAACTCTGCAAACCATCAGGCTAATCTGTTCCGGAGAAAATCATTCTACTCGGTAAAGAGCAGCGTGACAGCAGTTTCCACCTGTCACTGGGGGAGAAACCTAATCCCTCGTGATCAAAGACCAATGCCAAGGCATCCTTACCTATGGCCTTTGTGTAGTAGTTAAATGCTTCAGTATAATCCTTCTTGATGTAAAAGGCATTTCCTTGTTCTTTAAAGCATTCAGCTTCCCTATAGTCACAAAAAAGAAAAGCATCCATATTAAGTCAGGCAGCACAGTTGCACAGTGGTTAGCATTACTGCTTTGCAGCACTGGGACCCAGAGCTCAAATCCTGGGGTGCTATCTGTGTGGAGTTTGTATGTTCTCCCCATGTTCACATGGGTTTCCTCCCACAGTCCAAAGACATACTGGTAGGTTAACTGGCTACCTGGGAACCCGGTGTGAGTGTGCATGAGGGCACTGTGTTTGTGCCTGTCCTGTATAGTGTCCCCCACAACCCTGAATCGGATGAAGTAGTTAGAAAATGAATGGATGGATTTATATTAAGTCTGTCTACTGAAAACAATGTATTCACATAAGGCTGTAATAAAACTATTAGCAATGCTGTGCTTCAAAGAGGCAACCTACAGGCCTGTGGAAAGTAAGGAAACAGCGCTGATGTCCTTCTATTAGCACTAGGAAAAGGCCAAGGTTCCTCCGAGCCCAGAGCTCATAAAGGTTTTACAAATCAAGAGGCAGAAAGAAAGGATACAGACATGCCTGTCTCATTCTTTTATTGTTGAAAAATCCTAAGAAGCTTCCTTAATGAATGTGGCTTAGCTAGTTTGTCCCAGACACCACATCGGCACAGTGGTGTTAATGTGAACACCAAGCATTTTGCTGTTGTTTTTTTTTGTGTTGAGAGCAGATGTTAAGATGTTAATACAATATTTAAAAAAAAATTAAACCTGAAATCCAATCAAAACGTGCAGGATAGAGTCAATTAAAGACCCCTGTTCTCAAGCCACAAGTTGAAAATGGGAGGTTCTCCTTTGATTGTAAAGTTCGGTATTCATCTGCACCACTGCTGACCTTTAAGTGCTAAATTAATGGACACCCAAGCAAGCAGGTGTCCACAGTTATCAAGGATTGCAGCGTCTTCTCTAAGCTTAACCATTCACTTCCCAGCTCACAAGGGCAGTGCTGATTACTGAACTGGGCAACACTTGGAAAAGGACAGTTATCGCTGCATTACAGCTAACCCTATCACTGGATGGCACCATTTTAAGTCCCTCCAACTGACCCATGATCTCAGCTCAATCTACTTTGACTCACTGTCTCATAAAAGGCATGCCTAAGAGTACAATGAGGTTATCTTTGCTTGTGTAAGGCGAATGCAGAAATGTTTTAAACAACCAAGTGTAATGGCTTTTAAGGCTAATCATTTTTTAATGTTTCCTGAATGCACCTGTAAAACTAAAGCATAAAACAGTCAGACCAGAACTAGTTCACTGAAAATCAGCTGTCCTTATTCACCAAGATCATTTTAAAATAAAACTAAGAAGGAAAGAGCTGCAACGTTAATAGGAAGCAGTATATTTTACCGATAATATTTCCCAGCCACTTAAGTTGTCCTATTAGAGAAGCTGGACTGGTTCAGCCTTTGGAGTAGCCTTAGAAGTCACAGGAAGCTCACAGCACCAACTCTGCCTGTTTGAGCAGTACAGGCTGTAGGTTAAATAGCTTTTTTGTCTCTACTCATTTTTAATTTTTTCAAATCACCACATTTTGGGGAGACAAGAAAACAAACTGGCTGTTGGCATGATTTAATTTGACAGTTACAGGGCTCTACACCTTTTAAATCTCCCCCATGTGCAAATCAACTCCAAAACATGCCTGGCACAAAACTCATTACAGCAGAGCATTACCCCCCCTCTCTGGGTCTATACATAGAAAGAACAGGACCAGTCAGGGGAGTGGCCAGCTGGTGTTATCAGTCATGGGGAAGCTTCTAGGGGCTGGTGAATTAACCCCACCGGTTACAAGAGGTGTTATGATGAGGCCGCAGAGACAAAAACTATCAATAGTCACTCTACCCTCCATCCATAACTGTTTTTTTTCCTTCTTCCAGGCCACCAGTCCCTTGGTGCACTGTATCAATTGAAATATAGGTCACCTCTCTGGAACAAACATGCACTGTATTGGCACTGTACTGTGTCATGAGCTAGCCTGAGGAAGCTCTGAGATTACTGCTGAAAATTAAACGCACTCTCCTTCATCATCTAGAGGCGCAGCATCATTACAGAAAGAACCAAGACCTCGCTCTAAAGCGATCCAGAACTATTTATCTCTAAACTGCCCTGCGCAACATCAAAGCAAACCTGGGCAAGTATTACGCAGCTCAGACAGACCAAGGTCAAATTATATAAGATTTCTAAGGACAGTACTGTGAAATGCAAGTGAGAGCATAATTTTCAAGCATAGATACTGAACCGCATATCACAATTTACAGGAGCTATTTGTAGTGCAATGGTGCTAGAGGTCCATATTGAAGTGCTCCTCTTAAGCCATGCTGTGCAGCTATATTTACATCATGTGAAGTGTCGGATGGCTGGTTAACTTTACACAGTAATGAATATAGATATGAATAGAAATGAATAGATAATTCTGCATGAAGAGTCAAAAGATACAGTCTCGTTGTACCAACACTCAAGTGCTCAAGCACTACACCAAATTCCAAACCACTGCCTTTTAAAAAAAAATAAAGGCAAACAGTGGCATTCTATGACAGTTACAAAAGAACAACACTGTATAAATCACACACTACAGTGGCTCACACAGGCTTGAAGCCTGGAACAAAAAATGCCCCATTTGTCAACAACTACTAAAACCACATCTCGTTCCAGGAAGGGAGAGGTCAGGTGTGTTTAAGGTTAGAGAACACCACTATGTCACTGCAAAGCTTTCTGTAACGTTTCTCCAAATGGAGAGGCAACATATGAAACACTAACATCCCTGATCTGATAACGAATCTGTCGCTTTTGTCACAGCATCTCTTCACTGAGAAGATCTCTTCGCATCATGGAGTCTGGAACTGACACCTCCTTCTCTACCCCAAGTCTTCCTCCAGCTTGTCCATTTTTCAGTACAGCAGCAAGACCTCACCAAACAAAAGAAACAAAACCCTGGAAGCCCTAAAAACAAAGGATGACCCTGAGCCAGATCTATGGTTTACGAAGGCCACAAGTGAGACACTAAATTCCACTACTGATTGATTCTGTTTCACAGCGATTACTGAGTAAAGAAGATATGATCTGATTCTCGTCTTGAACTGTAATTGATGTTTTTCCATCAGGCTTTTCCTGTTGGCACAATTCCTATGCCTATGTCAACCTAAATACAAGTATGAGCAAAACAACAAAACGAGACAGAAGAATCTATTACGTTCTGTCAGAGTGGGACGGTGCCAGTCATTGCCAAGGCATGTATCTATACCATATAAGAGGAATAATGCACAGAAACACATAGTGACTTAATACATCTTCCTGCCATAATATAGCATATCACAGGGAAAGAGCAGAGTGCGTTTCTTCAGGTACTTCGATTCACTCAGTGCTGGGTAGTATGATTGGGCAAGGACTCTGAAGCGCACCTTCGCCACCCACAGTGAGGATCCTGGGTTTGCTTTTCGTACCCGCAATGTAAAAACTACTTAAACGATTTAAGCGCAGGATCGGTGTTCCGTGCTTTTTTGGAGTGACGCTGTATTCCCGGGTTGATTCGTGTGCTGCAGTCAATCTGACGTCCGCCTGGAGCCAGCGGAAATAAGGTCCATTTAAAATCGGTTTCGGTTTTGTTTCAGCTGTCAGGCTTTCGATTTTAGGCTGGTGAGAGCCGACCTCTACAGACTCCCCACCCCCCATCTCATCATTCCCGGAGCTGTCCCTCGCCCGCTGCGCTGACCAGCCGCACAACCACGGCGTGCAGCTACTGGGACAGGACGGCGGTGTCCCATTGATACAGTTCCCGAACTAGAAAAAAGTCATAATGTATTGACTGTATGGGAGTTTATAAAGGAAGAGTCTGCAGATCCCAAGTCCCGTTGCCGGAAATTCCTTTCAATGACTCCTCTACAACAAATACTCGACGCATGCCACCAATAAAAACATGCCAATCTACAAACTGGAATATCGCGATTCCAGTTGCTACCGTGTTACCTAAAATGAAGACAGCACATGGAAGAGATCATTCTACTCGGGGACCCGACTTTCCGGGTTCAAACAAAGTGAATTACTTCACCGCAGAAGGAAGAGGCACCGCTGATACACAAACGACAGCACAACTACAAGCAGGGCGCACAAACAACACTGTTGTCTCACTCGGTCGCTCTGTGCTGTCGCTCTTATTAACTGTCAAGACAGCAGCGCTTGCCAGAGGAGTTTATTTCATGTGTATTTCCAGCTACACGTCTAAAGAAACGTATTTGAGGCCTTCAACACCTCCAGGTAATTTCACTCAGATATTGGGGGAGACGACAGAACGAATTACACAAAGTGACCCATTTCCCCCTTTTTATAACGAAACGAAACCGGCTAGCACTGGAAAATCCAATACTTGCCAAAGACGTATACAACAACCTGACCTAAAACTATCTGATTTATTTAATAACAAAGCAACAAATGATTCGTTTATCAAGACGACTATGTAACGCCACTCAAAACACCTTCGCGGAAATGTCGGGTTTCCTTTGTTGTTTTATTCAAATAATTGTTTACATCTCGGACTGCGTAGACAACGCCGTTGTTTTTATTCTTGTGTAAAAGACGGCCGCTGAAAGCAGATTTCCAACCCCGGCGGCTGACCGGGTCTCGCTGAAGAGACACCGGGACGGATCCCCATGCCCGCGTCCTAGGGTGTAGGCCTCAAGCAGTCCGGCAAAACTTGGCTCAAGAACCACATACGAGCCTTATCTGTTAATGTACGGTCTATCCCCGAGAGCGTCACGGCGCTAGCGACTACCGACTGAAATAAATATCCACGTTGTACCTCGCCAGCTCCTCTTCGTTCATTATTTGCGGCTCTGGATCCATGATCACATCGCAGTCAACAGCGTCCATGTTACTGCCGGGGAAGAGAAGACAGACACTTCCGGGAACCGTAGAAATCACCGAGCGCTAGAGCGGCCTGCGGCAAAGACCCATTTCCTCTCCTTTTTGGGAGGGAGAGAGTCGAGCCCGCACGGCCGCTACACGCCGACATGAAAAGGCGCAAACAGCGCCTCCAGTGGCGGCGCCAGGCTCCAACATCCCTTCAGATTCAGACTTGATTATCCGCCGGGGGAGCTGTGTTCGGAGTCCAACACAACAATACAGCATAACAGCCGTCACCAACCGACACCAGATCAGGGCAAACATGACTAAAACTCTATGAAAACCATGACAAAAATAAAATGTGAAATTCCGTAGGGTAGGAACGGTTTCCAGGCGACGCTTAAGAACAGTGGTTAGCATTGGTGCCTGGGTTCAGTTCCTGTGGAGTTTGTATGTTCTCCCCTGTTCGTGTAGGTTTCCTCTGGGTGCTCCAGTTTCCCCCCACAGTCCACAGAAGTACTGGCAGACTTGTTGGCTTCTGGAGAAATTGGCCCTGGTGTGAGCGAGTATCTGTGTGTCTCTTGTGATGGACTTGTGTCCTGCCTTGCACCTGTTGTTTAGTAGTAATAATAATAATAATAATTGCTGACACTTATATAGCACTTTTCTGGACACTCCACTCAAAGCGCTTTACAGGTAATGGGGATCCCCTCCACCACCACCAGTGTGCAGCCCCACCTGGATGATGCAACAGCAGCCATAGTGCGCCAGTACGCTCCCCACACACCAGCTCTCAGTGGGGAGGAGAGCAGAGTGATGACGCCAGTTCAGAGATGGGGATTATTAGGAGGCTATGACTGGTAAGGGCCAATGAGAAGTTTGGCCAGTACGCTGGGGTTACACCCCTACTCTTTTCGAGAAATGCCCTGGGATTTTTAATGACCACAGAAAGTCAGGACCTTGATTTTACATCTCATCTGATGGATGGCAGCTTTTTTCAGTATAGTGTCCCCATCACTATACTGGGGCTTTAGGACCCACACAGACCGCAGGGTGAGCGCCCCCTGCTGGCCCCACTAACACCTCTTCCAGCAGCAGCCTTAGTTTTTCCCAGGAGTCTCCCCTCCAGGTACTGACCAGGCTCACACCTGCTGGGCTCCAGTGGGCTGCCAGTTGTGAGTTGCAGGGTGACACGGCTGCTGGTTATTATTATTATTATTGAAGCTTATATATAAAAATGATTGGATTTGTTATAACCTGCGCACAATCACAAATGCGCTAGAAATCGTAACGCCCTCCGGTCGACAGGGGTCGCTCTTGGTTACGATCCCAGGTTGCTCCTGTAACCAGCCCATCGATTCGCAGCCTGTGGGTTGGGTTAGTGCCTACGCAAATTGTAAACAGGAAATCGCCGCGGTTGTCTGCCTCTGCACTTTAACAGTACAGTATTTTCAATTATTTTAATATAGTTTTGCATTTTTGTTACTTTTAAAAATGTGTTTTTAAACGAGTGGAAGCGCGCTTTTTTCCCCCGGTCGCGGTGTTTTATAGCTTGGCCGTGGTTATTTTACATCACTTCTTGTGAAATGATGAAATTTTACCCTGAAATGATGTTTCAGTGTAAGATGTAATAAATGTAACCTCTTTTAAACTTAATTGCACTGGTTTATGCAGTACTATTTAATCTCTGGGAATATCAAGATAAATTTGCTGGGGAGCGTTTTGACTCTTACTTTTATGTTGTAAATGTCAGGAAGATGTAATAAAGAGAACTGCTTGCCTGCAAAACTGTATTTTTCAACGGCGCCTGAAATACATTCATCTGAAATAGCGCAGTGTGCAGTTCTGTATTGTAGCTCCTCGTCTAGTTGCTCTTATTAAATGGACGATAGCTGTTCCGTGCATTCGCTGTCAGAAAGCCACTTATTCCTGGTTTAGGAATGGAGAATAAGTACAGCCACTCCGCTTTACACAGTGGTGCACCGTGTTCCTGGTGTAATGTAAGATTGTTGTTGAAGCCGGCAGTGTTACATCTCTTTTCCGAGACTGGCGGCAGCTTTTCAAAATTCAACAGGTTGGGCCCGTCTCGTTATAGCAGTATCGTCTTGAAAACGAAAAGAAATGTGACCGTTTCTACGTAGATCGAGGCTGGGAGATATGCTGAAGACGGTGCTGAAAGCTAGCGCAGTGCTCGTGTATTTGACTTTTACAATAACCGCGTGTAAAAGGTCTTAAATAGAGACAAAAAGATCAATGTTTACCGCTAATGCAGATGACTAATCTAGAACGAGCAAGTCATACCGATCCGAAAAAAAGGAGAGGATGGGGCTTTGTTGAATTTTTTTTTCTTGTTTTGTTGATATCGTGTAGACGCCAGCGGACTATGGGAAAGAGCTGTAAGGTCGTGGTGTGCGGACTGGCCAGCGTCGGTAAAACCGCTGTGCTGGAACATGTGCTGTACGCCAACCATGTCGTCGGTAAGTAACCGCGACCTGGTCTGTCGGGGATTTTCACAAATTCTGTCTCGGGACCTTGAATCAAGTTTTCAAAACCCCCCAGGGAATTAACAAAGTCAGCGCAGTGGGCTTGTTCAAAATCGAGAGCTCAAACCGGAGGACACAGGTGAAAACTCCGGGGAAGAGCATTTAAAACCAAGAACAGGAGACAATTTTTACACGATGCGTTGTGAGAGTATTAAGACTCGCAGTAGTTTTGTTTAAGCTAATCCTCTGGATCCTTTCTGGAAAACGGAAGAGATCCTTGTGCCTAGTAGTAATGCAGCTAGATGAGCCAAGTGGTCTCCTATGATTAGTAAACATTTTTATATTCTTATATTCTTTATTATCAAACTTCAGGTTCACTGTAATGACTCATTCTATTGTTGCAATTCCCAAATAATTATTTTCTTGAACCTCAAAAACATATTTTCTATATATTTCTGTGCCCTGTTCAAAGAAAAGACATTTCAATGTGATTTTTGTTTTCATTTTCATTGCGATTACCTGTAACTGTAATGATCATATCATCAACTGACTGTAACCAAAATCTCACCACTGGAGTCACATAACTGGCAGAGCAATGCCAGGGGTAGCTCTTGTGACTCTTTGTGATGTCACAGAGAGATGCCTCTCCTCCCCTCCAGACCAGCCCTGCCGTCAGGCATGGTGGCTCTTGTAGAGTGGTCAGCTCGTCCGCCTTTCCTCATCCCTCCCTGTGCACAGTAGAGGAATCTTTGCAGTGAGTGGCGATACACGGAAACAGCTGTAGGTTTCAGACTGGCTGGGTGTAGCTAAAAACCATAATAATAATTGCGACGGCAATGAAAGAACCACTCTGTCTGTCCGTGCAGGCTCCGAGCCCATGGAGACTCTTGAAGATATTTACATCGGGTCCATTGAGACGGACCGCGGGGTCCGGGAGCAGGTGCGCTTCTACGACACCCGCGGGCTGAGGGAGGGCATGGAGTTTCCTCGCCACTACTACACCTTTGCCGATGGCTTTGTGCTGGTGTACAGCATCGACAGCAAGGAGTCCTTCCGACGCGTGGAGGCCCTCAAGAAGGACATTGACAGGCACAGGGACAAGAAGGAGGTATGACCCTCACCTGTCCCTTTGTATGTGATGGATGCAGTAGCTTTGCCCTTGCATAGGGAGCCAGTTGGTATGCTCATGCTTTCAGTTGTATGTCTTCAAGATAAACAGGAAAAAAAAAAACACAAAGCAGAGAACACAGCAGAAACAAAGGTTTATTTAAGGTTTTTAATAGGAAACACTTACAGGCCAAGGGTTTGAGTTTCTGGAACACAAACCTCTGCCTTGTTGGTGAAGACAGTACTCTGGCTTTCTTCAAGTCACAGCTGGATAAGATCCTTGGGTCAGTCAACGATTTAGGCCTCCTCTTAACTGAGAAATTTCTTACGTTCAGAACAGGAGTAAATGAGAAAATAAATAAATAAATAACAATAGCAGGATTATTGAATAATACATATTCTGCTTACTCTTTCTGCTTGTAAGAAGTTCTGATTGAGCCACATGAAATGAAGGGAGATGTTCGGGGCTCTGTGCGCTCTGCTGGGGTGTAGCGTCGGTCAGTGGTGTGTTGTTGAGAGGCACAGCAGTGTACAGGTTCCACTCCCACAGTCCTTATCATGGTGCTTCTCCACAGGTGACTATTGTGGTGCTGGGGAACAAGTGCGACCTGCAGGACCAGAGGAGAGTGGACAGCGAGGCCGCGCAGCAGTGGGCCAAGGCTGAGAAGGTGCGGCTCTGGGAGGTGTCGGTGGCGGACCGGCGCACCTTGATCGAGCCCTTCGTCTACCTGGCCAGCAAGATGACCCAGCCGCAGAGCAAGTCCACTTTCCCGCTGAGTCGCAACAAGAACAAGGGCAGTGGCTCCCTGGACAGCTGAGTGCATGGACCCAGCAGGACCGGACTGAGAGCTTTCGGGAGAGGCCGGGGCGAGCGGGTCAGAACTCTAGAACCACAACACAAGATAAGGAAGGTAATTTCCAGGACACAGGACATTGGAAATGCTAAACTGAGTACAAGCAATTGGCAAAACAAAACTAAATTTTGTGTTTTACCCAATTCCCTCCTGTTTATTTTCTTGGTGAATTAATCTCTTAGTTTGTGAATTGTGAATGGGGTGGTGTGCAAAAGTGTTTATCCCACTGTGGTGTCGGAACAGCAAGGGCTCCAAAGCAACACTTGACAGGATTCTGGCAAATCCTGTATTACCTGTGTTATTTAGAAATCCACACAACCATTTATTTTCTTTATCTGAAAGGAAACTAAAAAGCATTTCCCTTTGCAGATTAAGGACTGAATAATTTAAAACTGACTAGAAAGAGTGAGTTATTTGTTTCCCTTATTGCTAACAATTAAGTTGCTTGTTTTAAGCTTTCTCTAACCACTCTGCTTGTTTCCCAAAGTGCCTGATCCCTTTGTGTCCATCAGGCAACAGTAGTTTGTGGTTAGGCTTCATACGCCAGGCACCATTCCAGATTTCAAACCACTTTTTCCATAGCCATTGGCGCTTGGGGCTTTTTCAGTGTTGCTTCTTTCCTGTTCAGCTCATTGCTGTTAAGAAGCATTTTAAATTATACATTAACGGACCCAAGTGTTGTAAAATGTCCATTTATGTCAAAACAATAAATAGGAAATTGTTACACAGGTTTGTTAAGCAGATTTTGAAGTGTAGATTTATTTTTTTTTATAAGTGTGACGTGTGATTCTGCATCTCATCTTCTGTTTAATCTTCTGTTGGGGTATTTTTTATTTAAAAGCAGAGAAGGGAGTGATGGCTCAATAGCAATGTAGGAATTACATAGGAATTCCTGAAATTCTTTATCCCATTAAAAACGTTTTCCACCGTTTTCTCATTTTACATCTTTTATGTCTTTAGATAAACACTCTTTTTCTTTAATAGATTATTTAAAACCACTTTCTAATTTTGTATATTTTCTTTTTTTTGTCTAAGAAAACTGTTTCTGTCAGCTGCAACTGTTGCTCTCTCTGGACTGAATGTGCTGAACCCTCTTGTAGTGCTGGGAATATGACTTGTCCCCTGGGCTCACTTTACTAAAAAAGGCAATCAGGTATTCACCCAGCGTACTACTTTTCAAAGAGAGAGGGAGAGAGCTTGATCGATGTTTGTGTTTTTCTTTTCTGGGAAAATATACCACAGACTCACGCATTTCCATTCACAAAGATTAATCATACCACATACAACTGCAATTTAACTGCTGCATGACAGTTACAATAAATCAGTGAAATGTTATTTAGATCCCACATATGAGAAGTACAAATTAAATTATTTTTTTCCAGTGCTTTTTGTTGTATGCGCCTGTTTAAGAAGAGCCAGTTGTGGGTTTCTCGGCTCTCAGCTGCAAACTTAGCAAACGCACACAGGGGATCCTGCAGGAGGGTCCTCTGAGAGGGGGTCAAGAAAGCCGACTAATCACATTATCCCTTGGTAGAGCTTGGCTACTGACATGCACTTAGATGTGCTTGGGGAATCCTGTTCACAGTCAGTTGGTGACATGACCTGGGCTTAAATCTGAGACACCTGGATCATAGAGGTCCACCTATACTTGAGCAGTGCCCTCTACTGGTCTACTGGACAAGATTGCTCACTCACTGGAGAGTCTTGGCTTTAATACCACTATCACTTATTTTTTATGAACGGCAGTTCAGTATACATCAGTAAACTTAGAAGAGGTAGACTTGACAAACAGCCAGTTTGATATAGCCATCATAGGTGTAGCTGAAGGGATTACGACCCCATTCCTGCAGGTACTGTAGGCAGTCCTGAGAGGTCAATGAGCAGAGATCTGGAAAGCCTGCTAACTCTTACTAGTTAAACAACCGATGGGTCCAATAAAGTTATTCGGTGCCTGGCTGGTAGAGAACCAGATGACAGCACTGTCCACAAAGCCATAGCTGCTGATGCCTGCTGTAGCTTTACAAAAATAATTATCCTCATTAAATTACTGGATAACATTGTTTTAGAAGCAGGAAACTCACTTCTGCACTGGATTTGTGAGCATCTCTATTTTAGATTTTTCCAGTGCAAATCAGACAATTTACAATTTTCCAAGAGGAGAACTAAAACAGAGCTATCATCAATTCATATCAGAAACAAAGCCCTCATGTCAGATGTCCCCAAGGATACTGAGCAAGCTAGAGTGTGAATGAATTTTAGCCATTTGATGTATGCGTACACTTAAAAATAAAAATGAAAGTATTTTATTTTGGGGGGTATCTGCCCTTAAAATTAGTTAAAATCCACTCAGTCCATCCAGATCATTTGTCAGAAGTGAATTGATCCAAGGATCTCATCCTGCTGCTTTTTGAAAGAATCCAGGTTATTAGCTTGTTTCAGACTCCCACAACACTTTGTGTAAAGACGTGCCTCTTCTTCACAGATTTAAATGCACTTCCACATAGTTCCCCCTTGTGATCTCTGGTTTGTGTTTCGGTGTCGATACTGTGTTGATTTTGTTCAGCGTGTTGATGTTGTTAATAACGTATACAAAGTCAGTGGTCCACCTGTGAACCTTACCTGGCTCTTGATCTTGTGTAGTTTGTTTGTCACTAGTCTTAAATGCATGCTGTCCCATTGAGATTTGGAGTTTGTAAAAAAAAACTACTTTTTAATTTTCAGTTCTGTTTAAAAATGTTTCCGTTTCAAAGCACTCAACAATACTGTATCTTGATTATTTCATTAGCTAGGGGGCCCAGTGCCCTCATGGTTACAGTTTTTTATTTGTGTGTATTTTCTAAAACTACTGACAATTCCCATTATGTCTCAGCTGTTCTGAAACACTGTTTTTCCACAAAAAGAAATGACAAAAATGAGGTTGTACATACAGTATATATAAATAATATTCAATATAGAATGGTATTTATGTCTGTGTTATGTTTTTTTAATTATTGAGCTTATAACTACTGCTACTAGTAACTAGTTTTCTGCTTTGCACTCATAAATGTATACTTTGACCTAGAGAGTATTAAAGGGTTGAAAAAAAAATCAAATGCCTTTACTTGTCAGGACTGTGTATATTTTTCTGGACTGTATAATAAGATGGGTTGCTTCTGGCTAAGGGTCATAAGGTCATATCCTATGAAGCATTTGATCCTTTCAGGAAGCATATGTACACTTCACCACTAAAATGACAGGCAGATTTACATTAAACTTCAACAATACTTCTCCAGCATACAAGGTTTTTTAAAAAACAACAAATCAGATTAAATCATTTTGTCATCTTGCCATCAGATCAAATCTCTTTTTCTCTCTAAGCACAAAAGTGAAATTATGACAGCAGGGAATTTCTGTCTTTCACTGCAGAGAAATATAAAACATAGCATAGCATTATACATTTAATGGAATATTGTAAAACTTTTTGAAGCTTATTATAATAAAAAAATGTATAAACATTTATTTCTGACATCTTACATGCAGGATAAGGGTAGTAAATGTGCTGAATCGTCTCGTAGTGCTGGGCTCCCCTGGGCTCACTTTACTAAAAAAAACAATCAGGTATTCAGGTAGTTTTTATTTTATTCTAATTCTGGGCTCTATGATCTGAAAATCTATTTTAGCATACACCTACTGAACAAGGTACTGTGTGATAGTACTGCAGTCATGACCCCGAATGGGCTGCAGAGGGCAGTGTTGCACTGTTATTTCCTCCACTGATCCTCTGTAAAGCTCCCTTTGTACCATAAGACTATCTAATATCCGAGCCTGTCAGTAGAATAAAGCTTAAATCCACCATAACCACTAAAGCACACTAAACGTTGTTTCCTGTAATCTTAGAAAGCTCTGCATTTATTCTAAATCCCTGTGCACAGCTGTAGATTTCCCCTTCAACCATCAACTCCAATTGGCTAGACAGAAAGCCGAAGCAGAGAATCCGTCTCATCAGATTTCTTGCTTTGGAACATGAGAAAATTTGACCAATTTGAAATAAAAAAAAAAAATTGACTGCTGGCAAAGAAAAAAAATAATCATTTTATACTGTAAATGAAGCGGTCATATGTGGGATGTTCTGCTTCAGCACTGATCTATTTGTTTCGTCTACACCAGTTTCCACTGCTAGTCCAACACCTACCTGGCAGCCTGTGCGAGCAGCAGAAATGGTAGCCCAGGGACAGCAAGGTGCTGCTCTTGGGTCTAAACATCTCTTTAGACACCTTCCACAGGTGTGGAGATCCATATCTGTGACCCTCAAATAGCACCTGAGCTAAACCCATCCCATTCTTCATACTTATGTATGAGCGAGCGGTGTTGCAGATAATCTGCAGCAGGAGATCAATGGGTTGTACATTTTATTTTGTGAAACCCCTGGGGTGCACACTTTCCATCTTCAAGGGCCACAGGAACCCGTGGTCCACATGAGACCCTGCTGACATCCCTAGCCTTGCTTTGTGTTTCGGAGAACAGTGCAGTGCTAAGGGGAAGAACAAGCCACTTGGAATAAAATGATGTAAGGAAGAGAGTATAGTAACTTTGAATGGGAAGGGGGAGCAAAAGTTACAAGATGGCATGGTTAAATGATCACAACATGGCTCCTGGAGTTACAAGTCACTTATAGAAAATAAACACCTAGACCTCAGAAAGGTGCATCAAGGAGAGAGAGATAATAAGAATGCATTTGCTGGGCTAAAACAGGAATATCCCATTGGATATTCCCTGCAAGAGTGATGAAAGACCTGAAAAAAAACAACTTGATGCAGTCACAAAAGATGGGACTTTTCATTGTTACTGCTTTATTTTCACATAAGGTGAGGAGAGAATGGGAAAATTTTTATAGTCTGGAGGTATTTTATTTCACCCTGGCAGTTACTGTGGTGACCTTATAATCCTCCCCACTCGCTCCCAGCAGTATATCTTTCAGCGGCTTTTCTGTGAGTCATGCGATTAAGGCTTGGAATGATTTTATAGCGTGGGGCAGATTTACTGCAGCTGCCACATGGAATATAGATAGAGGTTTTATGAACAGGTACACAGGCTCACTGCAGGCCAGAGCCGACTAAATGCTGCTCCTGTGGTTTTTGTATTTGTCTTTTAAAAAAACAACAACATACAGTCAAGGTTTCAAATGTGCAATTCCAAAGAATTAAAAAAAAAATCACAGATAGTCAAAGATACTAATAGAGTCAGCAGCTAGAATTTAAATTTAATCTCAGTCTGGTGGCTATAGAACTTCTGTTGAAGAACTTCTGTTATAGAACTTGAGTCTCTGCACACTTTCTGAGTCACTTTCAAGGCTTTGAATGGCTTGTCCCTGCACACCCTTCCATCACTGATCTGTTGACTTGTTATACCGTCCATTGGAGCAGACCAGGCTGCAGACTGTGGTGGACAGGGTTTTTTTATTGGCTACATAGTGTACCTGTACTTAGTACAGTATTAGGAAATCTGACTACTTGGGTGCATTTAAACCAAGCATCCAAGATTTGTATTGCCAAAATTAACCAAGTCAGAAATGAATTAATTTAAGAGGATTCTGATGATTGAGAAGTTTGATTTTGCATCTTGATAAACTGATTTAATCGATCGCTAGATTAAAGAACCTGCTGGATTGGGGCTCTCCAGGAGCACAGCAAGAGAGGCCTGGTACAATCCCTTTGTGTGATGCAGCTAAACTAATTTAACTGATTTAGTAAGGCTAGAAGGAAGGATGATTTTGTTCTATGCAACATTAATTATTGTAAAGGTGTAAAAAAAAAACCTCTCAATTCTTCTTAGGAGAAGGAGATCAGTATCACACAATCCTTCCAGGCCTGCTCGTGTCCCACTGTGCTCCAACACTACAGTGGTTTCTAATTAGTCAAGGGAATTATTTTCAAAGGTTATATCAATTTTTTCTTCCAAATTTAAAGAATGTGTCATCCTTGAACCTCTGGAGAGCTCCAGAATATTGCCCACATTCCCCATAATAACAACTAAGATTTTGAAATTCTTGAAGTGCTATGGGTCCCGTCCCCACTTACAAATCACATCACATACACTCCTGAGAAAATCAATAGAGATCTGAAGCACCCCTTTCGATACAGGAGGTTTAATACAGTGCCAGAGCCAGATTTCCCAAGTGTGAATGCTGGGTGTGTGGGTCTGTGCAGCAGTGCGTGAGAGAGCTTGATATCATGTACACAGAGCCAGAAGTTCAATAACGCACAGTTATGAATTTATAAACAACTGAATGCATGAAGTTCTGCCTAAAGTTATTTGCAAAATATATCAAATGTAACTTACATGAAAGTCATAAGTATATCTTGTGCATCTGTCTAATTTTTATGTTTTTATTTTGTTTTAAAATATTTTTAATTTAAAATAATGGTTTTGTTAATAGCCCTAAGGATATGCTTTAACATGTCACTTAAAGATTAAATTAAAGACGACTGCCCTGACAAGATTCTAACAAGAAAAGGTCAAATACATTTCTATCGATGTGGTTGTATAATCAAAAGCATAAAATGTAACTAAAGGTTGTATAAAGAACTAGTAAGATCTCATTTAAAATACTGTTTACAATTTTAGTCACCATGTTATAAAAAAGATACTACACTGACATGCTGAAGAAACCAGAGGACACAAGCAGAAACTATTAGGAAGCAAATTTAAATCTGCATGTAAAATTGACAGTAGGAGTCACTTTTTTACACAGAGATTTGTAGGGGTCTGTAACAAGCTGCCTGAGGTTGTTAATATTGCTTCTTTCAAGACACTAGCCCTCAAATGGTATAGATTGGCATAGCCTTTCTTATGTTTGTGTGTCAAAGCTTTTGCATTACATTAAGCAACATACAGAGATCTGATCTGGGTTTTACACACACGAGATAGTGTTTTGGGAGAGGTGAGGGGTTAGTGAGAGACAAAGGGGTTGTTGGGAATAGAACAAATGAATGAGTTACTTGAATC